TTTTGGTGAAAAACATGATTTTTTCAGTTTTAGCAAGGAAATACAAGTTCTCGCAAGAAAATAAAATTTTAGGTTTTAGGTTTGACGAGAAAAATGATTTTTTTTTTTTTGGTTTTGGCGGGAATAAACGCTTTCTTAGTTTCATGGGAAGATGAAGTTTCTTGGTTTTGATGGGAAAAGCGATTTCTCAGTTTTTGTAAGAATATGAAATTCTTGTGTGCTAAATTTTCAAGTTAAAATATGTTTATAGTAACTGAAATTTAATTATTTAACTTCAACTAAAATAATATTTCAACAGTTCAAACAAAGTTTTCTATTTAGTTATAAAACAATAACAATAGTTTTGATATGAATGTTATCGATTATAGTTTGGTAGTTTTAAAAACATATGTTTATAATAAATATTTGATAAATAAATAAATTTTATAATTCAAAATAATTATATTAATTAAGAAATCTTTTTTTAAATGGTATTTTGCTTTATATAATTACAAAGGAGGATCAAGTGACAATTTATTGGAGAAAATATATTACATTTGCCATTAGCATGAATGTACTAAAAATATATTACTTTATTCGTATATATACATATATAATTAGTTAGCTAAATAAATTTAATAGCAAATTATAATTTTGAAAAAGTAAAAAATTAAAGATATACAATGTTTATTCAAATTGAAAACATATAAATACATAAATTAAGCTAATAAAAAATATAATACTTATTTATATTATAAAAATAATTTTATTACATTAAAAATATATAACACAACTGTCTCTCCTGTAGATGCATGAAACCTCAGCTTTTTTTAAGCTTTATAAATATGACACTTCAACAAATAAATCACCAATCAAAATATTTTATTAATACAACTCATCTCTTTATTTTAACTTTTAAATTTAAACCCATTAAAAACTCATATATTTTTTATTGTTAATTTTAGTTTTAACTTTTGGCCAAACCCAAGCCCAAATAATAAATAACAACAAATAAAAAAAAATATTTGTTTTATTTTTTTCGAAATCCAAGCCCAAATAATAAATAATAACAAAAAAATTATTTTATTTTTTTGCCAAACCCAAACAATAAATAATAGCAAATTAAAAATTAAAATGTCTAGCTACATGTTTGCTTGACAAAGACGTGTATAATTGAAGAAAATGTAGGCCTAGCATAAACTATGCTTCCATGACAACAAAGCAAAAAACCGTATGTTATAAGAAGCTCACAAACCGTATGTTTTAAATTGACAGTTAATGCAATTTCTTGGTTTTCGTGAAAAAATACGATTTCTTAGTTTTTACGGATGAATACAATTTGACGATTTTGGCAGAAAATGCAATTTCTCGGTTTGAAAGAAAAATAAAATTTCTCGGTTTTGGTGGAAATAAGCAATTTCTTAGTTTTGATGGAAAATACAAATTTTTATTTTTTTTATGGATAATACAATTTCTTAATTTTCATGGGAAAATATGATTTCTTAGTTCGCGGGACAATGCAATTTCTCGCGAGATAATGCATTTTTGATTTTTGAGGAAAAATGTAATTTCTCAGTTTTTGTGGGAAAACGTGAATTTTGGTTTGACGAGAAAATAAAATTTTTTGATTTTGGCGGGAATAGGCGATTTCTCGATTTTTGTGGGTAAATGATTTTTTTGGTTTTGTGGGGAAATATTTTTCTGTTTTTGCAGGAAGATGAACTATTTTGGTTTTGGTGAGAGAACATGATTTCTCGGTTTTGGCGAAAAATGCTGGTTCTCGCGAAAAAATGTGATTTCTTAGTTTTTGCTAGAAAATGCAATTTCTTGGTTTTGGTGGGATGATGAAATTTTTGGTTCGACGAGAAAATGCAATTTCTTGGTTTTGGCGGGAATAGACAATTTCTCAATTTTCTTAGGAAAATAATTTTTTTTTTTATTTTAATGGGAAATGCGATATTTCAGTTTTTGTAAGAAAATGAAATTTTTTGGTGGTAAAATTTCAAGTTACCATATGTTTACAGTAACCAAAATTAAATTATTTAACTTTTGCTAAATTGATATTTCAATAGTTCAAACATATTTTTCTTTTTAGTTCTAAAGCAATAGTAATGTTTGGATTTGAATGTTATTGATTATAGTTTGACAGGTTTAGAAACATATGTTTACAGTAAATATTTGATAAATAAATAAATTTTATAATTTAAAATAATTATATTAATTAATAATTTTTTAAGTGGCATGTTGCTTTATATAATTATAAGAGAGGATCAAGTGGCAATTTAGTGAAGAAAATAAATTATATTTGCCATTAGCATGAATATACTTAAAATATATTATTTTATTTTTATATATATATTTTTAGTTAGTTAGTTAAACAAATTTGATAGTAAATTACAATTTTAAAAAAAGAAAAAATAATAAAGGATATACAATGTTTATTCAGATTTAAAACATATAAATACATAAAGGTAATAAAATAAATAAATATAATATTCATTTATATTATAAAAATAATTTATTATATTAAAAATGTTTACAAAATTTAGAAAAATATTTCGCAACGTAGCGCGGATAATTACCTAGTTGTAAGTAAAGAAGTAAGGATCGGAATGAAGGAAATAAGCAAATTGATCGAGTAATCAAGTAAAGCATTTAACAAATAAGCAAACAATTTAAGTAAATAAGCAAACATTGAACTAAGCAATCAAGGAAGCATTGAAACACAGAAGAAAGCAAACAAACAATCAATGAAGCAAGCAAAAGAACCAAAACGCAGAATCAATAAACAAAGCAAGGATTCAAGGGTGCAAATATGCATCAACATGATATGTATGCATGAATGCATGTATGTATGTATGTATGCGTAAAATGAATATGTAATGTTTTTGGAGATTCAAGAGATCACGCTATCGAAGGAACTCAAAGAGAATTGTTAAAGTATTTAGAAAATACTCAAATACTTTAACAATAATCACTTCATTTCCGTTGATAGCATGATTATGGTCATAAGTATACCTCTGTAGATTTATTTGGTCTATGAGATAGGATTCATATAGTCACATTGACTATAAAATCTGCTACTGCGCAAACAGAAAAGTGATTGTAAACTTCAAACTATTAGATCAAAATCAAAGACTAAAATAAAGAAAAAAAATTGAGGACATACCTGGGATAGGGAATAAACTTAAGATACTAGAAAATGGAGCTATAGTGATTGTCTCTCAAGCATTTTGATCTGCAAATAAGTGTTGCATTATATGTTTCAGATTCTATAACACATCAAAAGTCTAGTTTTGTAATATTAAATTACCCTTTCCACAAACCAATTTCTTTCTCTGGTTTTAGCTTTTCTCTCTAACTTTAGTTGTATTTTTCTCAGAGCTACTGTAGTGCATTAAGCTACCAAAAAAAAATTTGGGAGGTGAATATATGGCTTCCAAAAAAGCCCACAAAAGTATTAAATTATTTCTCACTTTTGCAGTATCTATGAACTATAAAAGTGGCTACTTTGCATGAACAACTATATATTGAAAGCAATTTTGATTACTCTAACATGGGACTCAAATTGACTGCAGCAGAAAGAAAGTGGGTAGAAAGTTAAAAGTAGCAACAGTTACTGTTAGGACCTGTGAAAAGTGAAAATAAGCCAAACGGTGTGGTTTAGTTCCATCATTGCCGCCACAAGTGGAGCATTTTCTCATATTGGATCTTGCTTTTGACCTACTATCATCTCCAAAAATAGCTCATTTTTTTTAGTTCATCTCCAAGTTATGAAGAGGAATAAAAGCGAATGGATGAACACAATCCTTTGCTTACTAATTCCTGTAAAAAAACCTTATCGTTTCTGAGATAGGTTTACTTCATAAGAAAAGACGAGAACAAAAAAAAAAAGTAACTTCAAACTATGAGAGCAAAATCAACGACTAAGCAGGATTAAAAGAAGGAGGACACATGCCTGGCAGGAGGATTAAACTTCAGAAACAAGAAGATGACACTCTGAGCCATTGAGTTCCGCGGTGATGGATCTGAGATAATCAAAATGACGTACCATATTATATATTTGTTTCTTATTTGAGAACGCAACAAAAGCTTACAATTTACTATAAAGTTTTGAAACTACTGAAACCAGGAACCTTTTTTTTTGTTGAATTACCCTGCAGAAGTTTTGATGTTCTTCCACAAGTTGTTTCTTTCTCTGGTTCTGAGCCTTTCTCTAAAGCTTCACCATACATGGTTTTTTGAGCTAGGGGTTGTAGTGTTTTAAACTGCAAATTCCAAAAACGAAATACACATGAAAGGATTCATCAATGTATTACAGATTAAGATCAACAAATTGACAACTTACAAGTGGACTTTTGCAGTGAATTAGTAGTTAGCATCTGGTCGTTGTTACACAGAGATGCAATTTTTTTCTCCAAAAACGCATGTATCATAAGAAGACATGTACAAGTTTAGGTTGATTAGATTGACTTAATTACTTATCTGAAACTTTAACCGTAAATTAGTGGAGATAGACCGGTTATTCAGTGTTTTTGTACACCTTTCATTGCCAGAATAAGCACATCACTCAACTGTTTTCACCTAAAAATATCAAATTAACCAAATGATCAGTTTTGAGGATATTTACGGATTAAGTAGAGTATGTACTTATTACTTGTTGAATGCTTCATATAAAGTGACGCATAAAGATTTGAAGTTAACTTTGGTTATAGATATAGATAGATACCTAAGATGAAAAAGAACACATATTGGAAATCATAAATAAACTCAGTTTGGATATGAAAATCTCAACTGCTGACGAAAAGGATATTTACGATATTGATATGCATGTAGCAAGATCTCCCGAGATGTTCTTCTATGAAATTTCAATGCACAGATTCGGGAAAATGGTCAATTTCGACCTGAACTAAGACTGTCGTGTCTTTTCCCACTTCAACTTTTACAGAGTGTTATTCCTACCCAAACTCAAAGAAATTTTAAATATCCTACCCAAACACATGCTGACTCAGATGAACCGAAATGCCACCTTGGCATTGACATTTGCTCGATTCATCTCAAAACGATGTTGTTTTAATTTTTACAAAACAACACACAAAACAACGTAGTTTCATTTTTTCGTGTTCATCTTCTTCCTTCTTGGCTTTGCACGTGAAGGCTTTACAGCTTTTTAGCTTTAAATTTTCAAACACAACTAGAAAATTCTTTTAGAAAGCTAAGTAAACATAAAATCCAAGAAAAAGTTAAGAGAACATAAAATTGGTTCATACGATAATAACTCATCAAACTTGACCCAAACCAAATCAGAATCTCAGTTTTTATTTAACCAAAGACACATCTTCGTTTCATTCCGGTTTAGCATAACCAATTTACCGGACCTGAACAATACCAGCACTAACAAGCTTCTGTATCTTGTTCATCACCATCAGTTCTTCATATGCTCTTGTGCAGCTTTCAGATTCTCTTGAAAATCCACCAGTACCTGCAAAATTCATTAAAAAAGAGACATGTCACACACAATTCCTAAACTCAACTTATGAACAGATTTCAATCCAGACACAACTGTTTTTACCTGTCTCATCACCGGATCCGACAATATATTCTGAACTTCTGGATCTTGCATTGCCTTTGCCTATCTCTCCTTCAATTCTTCTGGCGTCTGTTCTACACATCTGAAAGAGAGCGTAGCAAACACTTTCTCTAAACCGATTTGAATTACAAAGCTTTAAACAATAAAAGAGAGAAACAAAAAGTTGCAAACCTTCTAACACCATCAAGCAACTCTTAGTTCTTGGGATCATGTTTCAGCCCTTTTTGATACGTCTCCATGGCTTTATCTATTCCTTCACAGCCCGTATTCAGAAGTTGTAAGTGTTGTTATTTGTCAATGTGAAAGTGAAGAAGGAAGAAAATGAACACAGGAAAATGAAACCAAATCCTTAAAATTTTAATTTAACCCCAAATGCAAAACTACGTTGTTTTGTGTGTTAGTTTGTATAAAAATCAAAACAACATCGTATTGAGATAAATCGAGCAAATGTCAATGCCAAACTGGTATTTCTATTCATCTGAATCAGCATGTGTTACCAGTCAACTAACAGAAATAGAGTCAACATTGATTTTGGCACCATATAAAGAGTTTGGGTGAGATATTTAAATTTTATTTGAGTTTGGATAGGAAAAAGCATTGTATAAAAGTTGAGGTAGAAAAAGATACGACAATCTTAGTTCAAGTCGAAATTGGCCTTTTTTCCGCACATATTCATAGTACTTCACAGTCCTGAATAAGTTGACAGAAACGCATGAGATTTCAAGATGGTATTAGGGTATGGCAATTAATTGTTTAACTAGATATCACCTAGTTATGAGTCTAAAGTGCTACCTTATATATTCATTTTCTTTGTGGTCAAGTCAACACGTAGATATTCAAATTTTTCTTCAATCTCAACTTGATTTGCTGGAGAACTCTAGAGTGTGCTTGTCCTGCAGGCTGTAGAGAATAAAAGAGATGTGAAGAGTTGTTGTATGAGACATGCATAAGAAAATAAGATGAACTTGTTTCATGGTGCCAGAGGACTCACGAAGCTCAGAAAAAGAATGAAAGTTAATACCTGAACAATTAAAACCAACCTAAAAGAGATTTAGACACAAACGAGAAAATCTTGTATAATTCATGGACCTTGTTCAAGATACACAAACAGAAGGTATAGTCCATGAAACAGTAACATTGAAGGAGGACTTTGCCTTGATAAACGCTAAGAAACCTCAATGGTGATCTTTAGATCATGCCCTATAGAGAAACTATTAGTGTGGGTTTTATTGATTAAGTATTAATATTTTGTGTATTATATATATATATAAGACACTTTGTAATATTTTATTGTTTTTAGATTATACAATGGAGATATTTTTGACGAATTTTTTAAAAACAAAAACAAAAAAAAATATATATTTTTTAATAAATATAAGTAAAAACTTTTTATTAACAGCTTTTAAAACAAAATACAATTTCAAAAATGTAATACATGGAAACAAATAAATTATAGAAGTGCAATTCAAAAACTGAAAAAACTGCTCAACTGTAATCTTCACTTCCGCCAAATTTTTGTTATATATAGTCAACCAAATCAGCTTTCAATTTTGATGTCTTGTTCTATCCCGAAGTTGATTGCAAACGCATATCATATTGCTGAGATTTGTAGGCATATCGGTAGAGTACGTCATATCCACTTCTGAAGTTTATTCTGTGTGTTAGAAATCCGATACATCAATTAGACTGTATCTATCTCGCTCGTCTTCTACCATTATATTATGCAATATGATACATGCTCTCATAATTTTTCCTATGCCCAAAAAATCCCAAAAGGGGTTGGATTTTTAACAATTTTAAACCGAGATTGCAAGACTCCAAAAGCACGTTCGACATCTTTTCTGACAGATTCTTGATGTGTGGCAAATAACGAGTCTTTCGAACTTTGTGGAAGTGAAATAGATTACATAAAAGTTGCCCATTTCGGATAAATACAATCTGTGAGATAATAAGTTAAATTATACTTGTGTCCGTTGACAAAATAATTCACTTTTGGAGATTTACCTTGTGATACATCATCAATAACTGGTGAGCAATCAAAAACATTGATATCGTTTAAGGTACATGGAGGCCCAAAAAACGCATGTCATATCCAGAGATCCTGTGAAGCTACAGTCTCTAAAACGATTGTTGGTTTTCCAAATCCACGTGCATATTACCTCTTTCCAAGCGGTGGGTGGGACAGTTCTTCCACTCCCAGTGCATACAATCGATGCTTCATATCATTCCGGGAAATCCGCGTATATCTCTGATATACAGTAATCGTTGAACATCCTCTGTTGTGGGTCTTCTTAGGTACTCATTCCCGAAGACATATTATTCCTTCGACAAAATTCTTTAAGCATGAAATCGTAGTACTTTCTCCGAACCGAGGTATTTGTCAACTGAATCAGCCGGACACCCATATGCCAGCATACGAATTGCTGCTGTACACTTTTGTAGTGCTGAGAAACCGAACTTTCTGGTAGCATCTCTTCTTTTCTGAAAGAATAGAAGAGCATTCGAGAGTCCATCAACAATACTCATGAACAAGTGCTTGTTCATTCTAAAACGGCATCGAAATAAATGACACGGGTACTTCATTAAAATAATCGTTCCATAACTTGATGTGGCATTCTTCGCAATTTCTTTCGTTGTAGGCTCGTTTTTTTTTTTATCTGGTTGGCTTTTGGCGATCAACAAAGAGATTTTCGAATGATTAATCGAAAGCTTGATCGAAATTTTTATCGTACGGATAACTGGAAGGAGGCCATTTGAAAATGTGGAAAAAAAAAGAAATGAATAATTTCTTTTAACAAAAAAAAGATGAATGTGTTCAAAGATTGAAAAAAATAGATGTTGAATATGTGTTGGTTTTACGTTTCATTTATATAGACAAATTCTTTATGTTGTTATGTTTGTGGTGGTCATGCATAAGGCAAAAACTTGTGGTACAAAATACTAGTGGTATAAGAATCCAAAACAAATGCTTGGAAAGCCAAATTACTAAGTGGTACAAGAATCCAAAACAAATTGCCGAAAAACCAAAATACTTGTGGTACAAATGCCAAATAATTGTGCAAGAAAAATAAAAGACATGGTTAATGGTGTCTTATGTTTTACACCAGTGTCTAAATTAAGACATTTTTTTGGTTAAGAACACATATGTGGCAAGCCGGGAGTGGACGATGAAAAATTAACACGGGAAATGAAAAAAAGTATACCATTTGTTTTTTTACATCTCTCTCTCTCTCTTCCTCTCTCTCTCGACGGCGAAAAATGATGTGATTCCTCGCCAAATTCCGATTTGAGTTGATAAAGATGTTGATCCTCATCGATGAAGTGGTGGATCCTCATCGATGAAGGAATCATGGGAAGAGTCGGCGAATTTGGTTGAGAAATTAATCGGAAATCGCCTCACCAGTATTCATTGTCTTCGCATGGTACGAATCATCTCATTTCTTTAGTAAGTCGTCTTGAATTCGTTGATTATAATGAAATTAGGGTTGTGTGAAATCGGATTTGAGATAAATTGAAATTAGGGTTCTTGTTTTTGAAATTTTGGTTTTTCGAATTTCAGATTTCAGCAAATTGGTTTGGGGGGTTCTTTCAGTAGCATGAAATTAGGGTTACTTGCATATATTAAACGTATGTGTGATAATGATTATACTAAATGCTTGCATATACTAAATGTCTGTGTGATAATGATCAACCCTTGTTCAATTGTAAATATATGGTTAGAAACTGAAATAAATGCTTGCAACTGTGATTGAGTTTGTTAGACTTTAGGGTTTCGTTGTTGAGTTTAATTGTGATTAGGCTTGTACCTATAAATAAATGCATCGGTTGAATGCTTAATACAAAGAGCACAACTACTTGTGCTTTACTTAAACACAAAACCATTACTTCTATATATTAATGTATATAGCTGTAACTACTTTTTCTCTTTCAACAACTTCTTCTCTTTAATTTGTGTTTGAAAACCATTATTTTTCTCTTTCATTCTTATTTTTCAAACAGAAGGTTAGGTTATGGATTCTAGGAATCCATATCGTTAATCCCAAAATTTTATGGACCTTTTAAATAGTCAACAAGATAGCCACCACCCTCACCCCTTTTCTTATAAGATTTCTTCCCAAACTAGACCTTTTGGATCATCAGAAATTCCCCTGTTTAGTAGTCAGTGTTCTGAAGAACCAAGACTAGATGGTTTAAGGACAGCTGAGGAGCGTAAAGAGAGGAAGAGATGGACTCCCACAGATGATTTAGTGCTCATTAGCGCTTGGTTTAACACCAGCAAGGATGCTGTAGTGTCAAATGAGCAGAAAAGTGGTGTCTTTTGGACACACATAACAGCATTATAATGCTAGTCCTAAGGTTACATCTGCCGAGAAGAGAGATCACAATAAGTATAAACATAGGTGGAGAAAGATCAATGAGTTTGTCTCCAAGTTCTGTGGAACATTTGAGGCTGCAAAAAAACATAAGACAAGTGGGCAGAATGAGGATGATGTTTTCAAGCAGGCTCATCAGATATTCTACAACGACAACAAGGCAAATTTCACCTTTAAGCACGCATGGAAAGAGCTTCGTTATGACCAGAGATGGTGTGCCAACTCGTGTAGTAAAGGCGTAGGTGAAGATAGTTCAAAAAAAAGAAAATGTGAGGATGGTTCAGCACAATCTGGTAGCTCTCAGTCGTTTAACATTGAAGATGATGACCTCCTGGTTCGACCTCCTAGTGTTAAAGCATCAAAAGCGAAAGTTAAGAAGGCAGTAACCAAGACAGCCTCTGTGGAATAACAAAGCAAGTGTCTGTCAGAGTTTCAGACCATGTGGGAGATAAAGCAGAAGGACTAAGCCATGATGGATAAGCTCCTCGGCAAAACAGAGCCACTTTCTGATATAAAAACGGCTCTCAAGAACAAGCTAATTTAGGACATATTGTCAAAGTCTTGAATTCCTGAAACTCTTGTATGATATTTAAGTTTATGAAATGAAATTTAAGTTTATGAACTAAGTCCAAAGAAATAATATGATCTTCACATTGCTCAGTTACTGTCCTTTCAATGGTTCATGCCATTTTCTTTCAATTTTAGTTTGAACTACTTGTGTTTTTACTCACTTTAAATTTCTGGTTCTTTGCAGGTATAGAAAAGACAAGAAGATTGCGGTTGTCTAATTAGTAGAAGGAAGAGGCAATATGAATTCAGAGACTTGTTTGTAGTTGAGTAATAAAAGCTATTTGTATTTCTTTTTCCATCTGTAGTTTATGTAATAAGGTTCAGAATCACATGTCTTTTGCTTTTTTTTCTCCAATTATTTGGCATTTGTACCACAAGTGTTTTGACTTTTTGACAATTTGTTTTGGATTCTTATACAACTAGTAATTTAGCCTTTAAAGTATTTGTTTTAGATTCTTATACCACTAGTATTTTGTACTACAAATTTTTGCCTTGTGCTTGACCACCACAAACATAACAACATCATAGAATTTGTCTATATAATTGAAGAGTAAAACCAACACATATTCAACATCTATTTTTTTTCATCTTTGAACACATTCATCTCTTTTTTGTTACAAGAAATTATTCATTTCCTTCTTTTTTCTTTTTTCCATATTTTCAAATGACATCTTCTTCCAGTTATCCGTATTATAAAGATTTTGATCAAACATTCGATGAAAATTTTGATTAAGCTTTCGATGAATATTCAAAAATCTCTTTGTTGATCGTCAAAAGCCAACCAAATAAAAAAAAACGAGCCTATATTAAAAAAAAATCGCGAAGAAGATCACATCAAGTTATGAAACGATTATTTTAGTGAAGATGTGAAATATCCGGATCATTTATTTCGACGCCGTTTTAGAATGAACAAGCCTTGTTCATGCGTATTGTTGATGGACTCTCGAATGCTCTTCCATTCTTTCAGCAAAGAAGGATGCTACCAAAAGGTTCGGTTTCTCAGCACTACAGAAATGTACAGCAGCAATTCGTATGCTGGCATATGGGTGTCTGACTGATTCGGTTGACGAATACCTCGGGTTCAGAGAAAGTAGTAGATTTCATGCTTGAAAAATTTCGTCGAAGGAATAATATATGTGTTCGGGAATAAGTACCTAAGAAGATCCACAGCAGAAGATCTTCAATGACTACTGTATATCGGAGAGATACGCAGATTTCCCCGAATGATAGGAAGCATCTGCTGTATGCATTGGGAATGGCAATATGCACCTGGATCTGGAAAACCAACAATCATTTTAGAGGTTGTAGCTTCACAGGATCTCTGGATATTTCTGGATATGACACGTGCTTTTTGGATCTCCAAATACCTTAAACGATATCAATGTTCTTGATCGATCACCAGTTTTTGATAATGTATTATAAGGTAAAACTCCAAAAATGAATTATTTTGTCAACAGACAAATATAATTTAACTTACTATCTCACAGATGATGTTTATCCAAAATGGGCAACATTTCAATCTATTTTACTTTTACAAAGTTCGAAAGACTCGTTATTTGCTACACATCAAGAATCTGTCAGAAAAGATGTTGTGCTTTAGAGTTTTGCAATCTTAATTTAAAATTGTTTAAAACCCTATCCTTTTTGGGATCTTTCGGACATAAGAAATTATGATAGCATGTATCATACTGCATAATATAATACTAGAAGACGAACGAGATGGATACAATCTAATTGATGTATCAGATTTTGAACACGAAGAATGAACTTTAGAAATGGATATAACGTACTATACTGATATGCCTACAAATCTCAACAATATGATGGGCGTTCGCAATCAACTCCGTGATAGAACAAGATATTAATAATTGAAAGATGATTTGGTAGACCATATATGACAAAATTTTAGCGGAAGTAAAAATTACAATTGAACAGTTTTTCCAGTTTCTAAATTGAACTTCTTTAATTTATATGTTTCCTATATTACATTTTTGAAAATATATTATATTTTAAAAGTTGTTAACAAATTTTTTTTCTTAAATTTATTAAAAATATATATATATATATATATTTTTTTTTTTTAAGACATCCATCAAAAATATTTCTATTATATGTTTTTAAAACAGCAAAATACTTCAAAGTGTCTTATATATATAAAGTACACAAAATATTAATAATTAATCAATAAGACTTGGAGTGATCCATTTGTACTACTTTCATACCGTAATCAAAAACTATATAAAGCAAATATATATTTTCATGGAAGATAAGACTGGTAAATCGAACTATACAGTTAAAGAAAAAGAAGCAAGTAAGCAAAAAGCTAGTAAGAAATTAAAAAGTCAAAGAGAAAGTAAAATATAAATCAAGGAAGCAAGGCTAGCAAGCAACCACGCACCCCAGGAAGTAAACGAAAAATCAAGAAAACAAGTAAAGAAGCTATAACTAACCCAATGAATCCAAAAAGAAAACAAAGAAACAAAAATCAGAAAAGCAAGCAACCAAAAAATCAAGTAAGAAACTACAAAGTAATGAATCAAGGCAGAAAATAATGAAGTCTAGTAAGCAAGTAATTATGCATGTGTGAATAAATATATGTTTGTATGTATATATGCATGTATGTATAAATGCAAGTGTGTATGTATGTATGCATGCATATGTGTATGCAAGTATGTGTTTGCATTATTTAAGTGATTGGGAAGAACTCATAGAAAAAATGTCAATGGCTTCTAAGATACGGCCACATAAGTCTGTTGATGTCAGAAGAAAAAAGACACAGCATCAAACACTAAAAGCAATAATCAAAAGACTAACCAGAAGAAATAGTTTTTAAGAGGACATACCTGGAGAGAGACAAATACCGGAGAAAGAATGTCCCAAACCACAACACATCAGATAAATTTTACTCAAACATTAGTTTTATGAGATCAAAAATGAATGAGTAAAGCCAAACCCCAAAAACAGACTTGGAAGATCAAATTCTGATCATATGCAAAACAAAATGCCTGACTCTTCAAACTTTTTTGTTCACTTATCCAGATTTACGAGAGTATTTATGAAAACACATGTGTGGAAATCATACCTTAACTCAGAACATAAAATGAAACTCTGAGAGTGCCATAGGATCAGGCTTGACTGCTTCAATGCATCACTTAAGTTCCAACTGCTTCAGTACTCCTTCGAAATGAATTTCAAGAAGCTTCATGATAACCTAGAAAGTACAAAAGCAACAGGAGATGAACAAAAAAAACCTTGAATGAAAAATTATATCGGAATGTTGCATAAGAAAAATTTAATCGAATCAAGCTTGAAATTATATCTTTCTTAATGATGAAAAAATTGAGTCTGTTTTGATGTTAATTTCTTCCTTAATCTGAAATTCAAAATGTTTGAAGAGAATTAGAGAAATTTAATTCAAAGCCCAGATTCGCATTGCGATTCGAACTCCAAATTTCAGTCTACATCTGAATTCAAACAACTGATTTTGAAGAATTAGATTTTAAGCAAGCATGATTCCGTAATTACTATCACTGCGAAATCGCTTTTGCCAACAAAACTTAATATCTAATACAATTATTATAAGTTTATAACCCAACAAACACGAGAACAGAAAAAAGGGCGACTCAATAGTAGAAAATAGCTCCGACGAAGACGAAGCACGAAAGAAACAAAATACGAAACAGATCTAAGAGAAAAACAAAATCAAAATCGCCAAAAAGAAACAACTCTATAAAGAAAATTTAGATTCAAAAAGTTTACCGTTCGTGATCGTGAGAAGAAGACTCAGAGGATGCTATTGTTAGCTTCTCTTCAAATGGTTACTTTTCTTTTTCTTTGTCCGTTAAATCGAAAATGATTCCATTCAAATCGGAATTTTATGCACCGACATTAAAACTCAAATTTGACAAGGTAATGGAAAGCCCCAAATCGGAAGGCCCATCAACCGGAATTTACGCACACGTCACTTACAAAAATGGACCGCTCGACAAAATGTCAACCGGAAATTATAAAACCGGTTTAGAAACGTTACAATCAAAATTTCCAAAATGTGTTGGTTTTTAGGGTCTATATACTTTCTTCAGTTTCAATCTAAAATTTCATGAATATTCTAATTGTGTCTATACTTTGTTCATTTTCAATGTAAATGTCACTGTGTCTGAATATCTCTGGAGGAAGTGAACAATGTGTTAACCGGGTTGTCTTCTTCGGCTGAAGATGGTTCAGTATGCGGTTTTCATCTCCGGGCTGTAAACCTTTTGAAGTCAAGGGATCATATTTGATATACATATCTTTATTTGATGCAATTTCTCTGTGTTTGAGAGCAATCAAGGATCTAGAGCCATATGTGGATCCTAACACAATTGTGTTGACCGGCATAAAGTATAATAACTTGACTGAACAAATTTATTTGGATTAACTACTTATACTATTACATCCATTTCAGTTGCTTTTATTTTCAACAATTAATATCATTATCAAGGAACCGGGGCACTCATGAACACGAAGCTTCAACAGCTAAGCTCTTGACGACGCCACGACAAGGATCTCCGAAGACTCTGGTCGAGACTTCAACGTTACAACTCCTCGACCCAACACATGCCTGCCACGTGTCAAACACCAAAGTAACTAATACAAAATTCGAGGAAAAGGTTGAAAAAGTTGAAGAAAAATACGAGAAATCAGACCTTTCTGACGATCGAGAGGGATCGAGAGCTGCTGCAACGGCCTTGGCTGTAACCACTTCCGCAAGTACCTTTGGGTGTACCGAAGCTCGCAAATTTAACAGACGATATGACCTGTGTGGAAACAGGGCATTTTAGTGACAGAACCGGTCTGGTTCTGTTTGAGTCGGAAGAAGTCGTCCACGTGTCCACCGGAGCTGGATAAGACTGTGACACCGTCAAACACAGGTTGGTTCCTGTTTGTTTTGTCGCGAATGATATCTTTGTCGGATCTCCTCCCATTTCTTCCAAGAGAACAAGTGTGTTCCCGCTAGGTTTTATCCACGAGCGAGGCACGTGATACCTGTTAACAAACAAATCACAATTTAGCTTTAACTTTAAAGAGTTCACATTCCCTTGAAAGTATTCAATAGGTTTTAAGAAACTTATAAATCTAACAACTCTTCTCTTGTAGTATTAATGAATTTGTATAATGTCTTTAAATCCTATTTATTTGTATAGTATTTTAAAATTCTACCAAATCATTGATTCAAAAGCCCCATAATGTTATACTTTGAATAATTTTAGTAAATGTTAAATACAATATCATTAATACAATACAAGAGGTTAAAAATATTAAAATTCTACCAAATCACTGATTCAAGATCCCCCCTAATGATATATATTATGATTTTCAAACCAAAACGAAATATCTGAACCGATTCGGATTAAAAAAAACTATCATTTTGCTGAGATGATGATGTTAGATGTGTGTTAGTACTTACAATGTCTGAGAAGGTTTTCCGCAGTTCTTGTGGCATTTGTTTGCACGGTAAGTTCCTCTATAGTCACAATAATCAGTACAACCGTCGTTTCGTGCGATACTTGTTGGCCAGTACCGACCTATGCTCTGTCCGTTCACCCACGCAACGCCCTTTCCTGTACCGGTGAAGTCTATCGCCACTGGTTCGCTCCCAGAAGGAGCATCAAATGTTGTCTGAGAAAACGGTAACAAAGCCATTGTTAAAGAGAATGACAAGAAAAGTAAACGAAAATGTTTTGGAAAATATATATCTATTGGTTTTTATTCATCAATCACCTTGTACCAAATCAGTGGCTGCTTAGTGGGCAAAGGAGACTTTGAAACCCATTCAGAAGAATCTCCACTTCCCAAACCTGTGTCTTCTCCTTTGAGTCCAACCTATTAACAAACACAACCGTTAAATACTTGAAAGATGGGAGGTATAGGACAAAGAGATTCTTGTGATTGATTCAATGTAACGAACCTGATAAGTCCATTGCTGTAAAGATAAATCTATTGAGCTTCCACTTTTTGCGCTTTTAAGTGTCACAGGACCAGTGATTCCTGCTCCAACTAAGTCAAAGAAAGCTCCATAGTTCTGAAGGAATAATAAGTTAAGATAATTTGGTTAGAGTTAATTCTGCCTAGTAAACATTTTTGCATTAATCTTGAGATTTTTTTTTTTTTACCGCAAGCCCTACTGTCACACCTAGGAGATCAATTGTGTTCTTCCCGGTTACAAGATTGATCGGAACATCCAAAGTAATCTTCTGTTTCCCATTTCCACTTCCTACAACCAAAAGTAGTGTACACAACATGAATCAATGGTATTGTTAAGAAGATTTTCTCAACAATTGCTTGTGAAAACTTAGGAGTAAAGATATATATACCGGCAAGTTTTCCATTTATAAAAGCATAGACCACTTGACCATTGGATTCGATGTGAAGGACAGATGTAGATCCTTCGTCAAGGAATGTCTCATCGCCTTTAATATCCATCCTGTTTTTAGATTGAACAAACATAGAAAAAAAACCTTTTTGTTAATCAATGGAACATAACTAATCATCTTTTGCAAGAAGAGAAGCATTCTTCTACCTTAGCGAGTACCACAAGTAATCGCTTTTATCAGCTGTTGTGTTTATCTGCTCTAACAATCCAAGTTTCAAGAACGCATCATTTTTGGAAATTCCAATAGGTTCTTTAATGTAACTCCACTGTGAGCCTAGCTCCGAAGATGAACCAGAATCTGGCTTCAATGATTGACGAGAAATTGTTGTGGACTCGGTTGCAGAGTTTATCTACACTTTTTCCAGATTTAGTCAAGTTGTGTGTGTTATGGGAGATATGATTAAGTGGTTAAAGAGTCTATTGAACAGACCTTTGCTGTGTTGAAAGCTACACTCTTGCAATCAGGCAAGATGCTTACGGACCATGCAGGCAAGTTATATGACTTCCCATTGAAAGTCACAGTTGCATCAGAAGTTGTGCCGATATTTGCAAGAAAAGCAGCGCATGATCCAGATTCTGTTTTATACACAGAGGCCTGTGGATAATAGTGAAGAAGAGAGATTAGTATAAGATAATGATTAAAAAAACCAACTACATGAAGTTATTCTTACCTCTAAATTTGATCCCAATGAAGTAATTTTTGGATCTGTGGCAATCAACGAGTCTTGACAAAGCTTGATAGCTTTGTGTAGATCACGTAAGTGTCCCCATTTTGGTTGTCTAAGAAGACCTGTGACAAAAAAACGAAATCACACATTTTCTTCAGTTATTCACAAATCGAAAGTGGGAAAACAAAGACAACATCATCAAGTTGTAGAAACCTTACCATACTCATCAATTGGTGCATCATAGTCATAGCTTGTAGAGATCAAAGGTCCTCCACTTGTTCTTTCAAAGTTTGTCCCACCATGATACTAAACGAGACAAGACCAACAAGTGTTTTTTCAGTATCGCCTTGTAAAGAACTCTAGTCAATAATAGCAACACAGTAGGCTTCTTGTGTTTAATTTACCATGTAATAGTTCTGGAAAGTTCCACCTCTTTGGTAAAACCGCGCGACTGCAAACGCAAGATCTTTGACTGGTCTGTATGGGGTAGGATCTCCGAAACCGAGGAACCTGGTCGTGGATCATACAAGAAAGTGACTCAAATGCCAACTCCGGTCATTGCGCCCGGGACCAAATGCCAACTTTGGTCCCGGGCCAACTTTGGAGACCGAACAGAGATAAGTAAAGTAAAGAATCGAAAGAGACTCACCATCCACTCCAGTTCTCAGTCCACATCTTTGGTTTATTGTTTGAGTTAGGTGTAAACTGGTCACAGTAGAAACCGTTGCATGTGTTGATCTACCAAGAAAGCACAAAACAAAAAAAAGACAAGAATGTCTCAATCAAAATAGATTAATTACCCCAACAACTTACTATATTCAGTTAAAGACAAAGTAAGTAGTTGAATCTTTTTAGAAACTCACAATGGGATCAGGAGCATCTCCTTGCTGACACATGTTCCATGGTACTCCAGTATCTAGTGAAAGAGCCATTGAAGCAGACCACTTCATATAACTTTTACCCGCCGCTCCATAAGCAGAATCAATATTTCCGTATTCATTCTCAATCTAACATCCAAAATCATACAGAAATCATGAGAAATGTTACTACAATTAGTAAATCAGAAAATGTTTGCAGAGGACAAACCTGTGACATAATAATTGGACCTCCTTGTGATGCATATAGCTTTTCCGACTTCATCAAATCAACAATTTTTGCAGTGAATCGTTGCATTTCTGCCTGCAACACACCAAAACCAAATTTTAACATTTGTGACAAAATAAAATAAAATTAAAAAGGACATATCACCTAAACCATTATTACCTTGAATTGTTCGTTATCAGTTCTAAACTTAATTCCAGGAACGAAATGCAACCACACTGGGAAACCACTGATTCCACAAAAAAAACATCATTTAATAAACAAAATAATAATCAGTCCAAAATTTTAATTAATTCCTAATAATTAAAAACTAAAACAAAAAACAGAATTTTACCCGTAATTCCATTCTGCGCAAGCGTACGGACCAATTCGTAGATGAACATAGAGACCAGCTTTAGCAGCAAGCTTCACAAATTTTACTAAATCGTATCTTCCTTCAAAATTATACTACAGTAAAAAAAATTCATCCACAAAAAAAAAATAGATGCAAATGTTAAAAAATATATAAAAAATGCAAAATCCCGAGAAAATATAATTTTCGACACTAAAATCAAAAACCAAAAAAAATCGAACCGACCTTGTTCTTCTCCGGCTCGTGACCATTCCAGAAAACATACGTCTCTATAACGTCCAAGCCACCGTCCTTAGACTTCTGTATAAGCTCTGGCCACATCTAACAAAAAAAAAAAAAATATATCCCAAAATAAAAATAAAATATATATCTAACAGTTTTTCTACATAAATACAAAACCGTATGTATAGATTCGTAAACAGTATAATATACCTCAGGAGTACTTCGTGGATAGTGAATAGAGCCAGAGATCAGAATCTTGCGCTTCCCGTCGATTACAAGAGCACGGTGGTCGTACGTCACATTCGCCGCCGTCGCCGCCACCACTAACTGAAGAATAAAAAGCGAAATCGTCTCTATCTTCCTTCCTCTAACCACCATTTTCGCTGCAATTGCTTGATTCGATTCTTTTGAGGATCTCTTTTGAAATCTATATATAAGCACGAATTGGCTTGAAGATTTTATGCTTCAAATTCTGAATCACCTGTTGCTTCGCCGCTTTGTGTTACTGCATTACCTGAAAAATCAACGAAGATAGATAAATACATTTGATTGCTTTTGCTTTTCGTTATGATTATTTTTTTTTCTGGATAAATCTCTGATTTTTACCGTATTGTTTTGCTTCTTGGCGTTACAGAGATGCGTATACGTATTGCATTATCGTCGACGGTGTCGTTTTCTTCCCGGATTTTCTTAAGAAGAAACGGCGAGGGGGAAGATTAAGAGAAAGGGATTAGTGTTTAATTAATGTTTAATTTAAAGGTTTTGTAGAGTGAAGAAGACGCGCGTATAGTAACCGAGACAGGAAGCAAGTTATAAAGGAAGGAGAGAGGACTCAGAGGAGGAGGTTGGGTGATTATCGAGTGCTTCTCAGAGTTATTTGTTACGGTGGACCCACGATTTTATTAGTTTGACATGAGGGGGGACACGTGGTGGTTAAATGGTAGAGAAAGCAACTGGAAAAATTGATTTGACGAAGAAAATAGTAGCAACTAGCAACTACGACGGCTTAGGCAGAAATGATCGCTACATATGTGAATTAGTGAATAGTTTGCATAATTGTGTCCTATTGAACTAGAGCAGTACTTCTCATTAATTTATATAAATCTGATATTTTCAATTTTATATTAGGCTTGATTGGTAAGTGATTTATTACAAGGTGTACACAGCAAAAAACATTTCTACAACAGTTAAATAGATTCATTTAAACAAAAAAAAAAAAATGGATTCAATCAAATTTTATCTTTACTTTTTTATAGACAGCCAAAATATTTCTTTCTTTCCTTTTCTTTATGTATAAAGTATTTTTTCTAAAGCATAAAAATTTATGCTTTCCAAATTTCATATTTTTAAAGCAAAATCTTACATTAATAAAATATGGATTTGATTGACAAATACTTTACAAGTTTTACACAGCAGTTTTTTTTATAGTAGTTAAATGGATCAAATCAAATTTTATTTTTCCTTTTTTTATGAACAACCAAAATATTTTCATCTCTCATTTTTAAGCTATACAAAGCATTTCTTTATAAAACACAACTTTCCAAATTTCATAATTCTAAAGCAAAAATCTTAAAGCATAAAATCTACATCCGTAGCAAACAAAATAACAAATTATAAAACCATAGTTCTACAACAAAAACATAAAATTACAGCTACTACTAATCAGGTTCAATGAACTTGATTAGCAAATACTTTACAAGTTGTACATATCAATAAATTTTAGAGCAATTAAATGCATCCAATCAAACTTTTTTTTTGGACAGCCAAAATATTTTCATATCTACATAAATTATGCTTTCTAAATTTCATAATTCTAAAATAAAAAATTTAATAGTAAAAAAAATTGCCACCACAACTATATTTTTACAGCAAAATTATAAAATTACAGTTGTTACCAATCAATTTTAATAAGTTTGATTAGCAAATACTTTATAAGTTGTACACATCAAAAAAAATTTCTACAACAGTCAAATGGCTCGAATCAAACTTTATCTTTTTTTATAGACAACCAAAATATTTCAATCTCTCATTTTTAGGCTATACAAAGCATTTTTTTCTAAAACATATAAATTTTATACTTTTAAAATTTTATAATTTTATAGCAGAAATCTTATAGCAATAAAATCTTTAGTCACAGCAAAAAAAAAAACCTACAACCAAATTTCTACAATAAAAACATAGGATTTAAATGGTATGTAGCTTATTCACGTTTTCATGATTTGAAAACGTAATTCCATCGAATACATATCATTCATAATATAATGAAAAAATGATTTTGCTGAGTACATACTATTCACAGTATTAAGCACAAAATAATAAAAAAGTAAAAAAATTAACAAGTTATTTTTGAATCTATCCCACACATTTTAAAATTATAACTAGTATATATAAAAAGCTATTTGTCTAATATATAGTAGCCATTTAAAATTTATTCAGTTTTCAATTTTTCCATTCTGTTGATTCTGCTATTTGATTTAGTTTTAAATTTTTCCATTCTATTGATTCTGCCACATTACAATTTAGCTATTCAGTTATTCTGCTATTAAGTTGACATACCAGTCAAATCCCTTAAAATTACCATTGTCACCAATTAGGTCCAATAGACTTTATTGGCAAGTACTTACAAGTTGTACACAGTAAAAAAAAAAAATCTAAAGCAGTTATATGAATCTAATCAATTTTATAACAACATCAAAAAAATTACAACTATATTTTTGCAGTAAAAATATAAAGTTACAGTTATTACCAATTAAGTCCAACAGGCTTGATTGGCAAGTAAATACAAGCTGTACACATAAAAAAAAAGTCTACAGTAGTTAAACGGATTCAATTAAAGTTTATTTTGTATGGATAAAAAAATATTTATTTTTCTCATTTTTGAATATACAAAATATTTTCTTAAAGTATATAATAAATTTAGACTTTTCAAATTTCATAATTATAAATCAAAAATGATACTGCAATAAAATATACAACAAAAAAACATATAACCATGTTTTTACAGTAAAAACATAAAATTATAGCTGTTAGCTGTTACCAATTAAAGCCATTGTCGTTTTAATATTTTCATTTTAATCATCCAGATTTTTTATGGTTATTATACCATGTCAAAAATTCATGAGAGTATGATTTAAAATCTTTTTAACTGTGGCAGATCAACTAATGTGTTTTTTTATGTATAGTATTATTTTTAATTTCGTATATGAGATTTTTAATATGTGTGAAAAATAGAAATTTGAAAAATAGATCACAAAATATTGATAAATTCGAAGATTTTCAAACGCATATGTATGTGAATGAGATATAAACACTCTTTCATATATTTGTCTATCATTCAATGTTGGGTATTTTTAAATGGTATATAAACAGGACCGGCTTAATATTATTATAGATCTTATGATTTTAAAAAATTTGATACTCTAAAATTTGTTTTTGTAGGTTTTTTACTTAATATTTTATCTTTACAAAAAATTGTTATATAATTTTCTATATTTTCTTTATTAATACAAAAATATATACATTCAAAACAAAATTATGAACCCTTTTTTATTCTAAATATTTAATTTGTTAAAAAAATTGGATTTCTTAATTGTTGGAACACGGAGTTGGACCCTGAGGCGTCGCACCCAATGTTATCAAAGTAAACCGGCACTGGATATAAACACTTTAAGATCATGCAAAAAAATTACAAAAACTAAGCATATATTTTATGTAGGCTTATCGTGTTTGTGAAGTGTGTGTGGGGCGTTACGGGAAACGATATCACCTCACAATCAGATAATGTTGGTTCAAACGACTTAAATAGACTGTGGTTCACTTCGTCATAGCTCAGACCACGGCGTCACCCACAGGAACCTATTTTTCTCTTTAAAAACAAAAACAAAAATCAACGAATATTGTCTTTCAACACGTCAATAATTTATCTGTCGGTGACGACTAATATTATTTGTCGTTTTTCTATTCTTTTTGTTGATAATGTAAGCTGCTGGTGCCTAATTATTAGATTGGATTTTATTCATGTTTTATATTCAGAAAATAATACATTTGCCTTAATATGAGAAGCAGAAAAAATGTCAAATGATTATGAGTCAGAAGAAGAAATCTGAATTTCAAAGATAAATATCAAATTTGATGTTATACAAAAAATAATTATCATCGAAATTATATTTTAAGTAAACAGATCCTATGTCATACAAAATTTATAAAATAATTTTTTATATATATTTTTTAACAAAACACACTTAAACTAATTTTAAATACTCCAAATATGTAGTTTAGTCATTTATATTTGTAGTGTTGATATTGCTTAGATTCAAACCTGTTAAAATGCGCATGTAAATTATAGACAAAAATAAATAGTTTAATTATCATAAACTCTAATCCCAATAAATTAAATTTTAAATCATAAAAATTTAATTAACAGACTAAAGTGGTGTATTTTTTGTTATAAAGACTACAACTGCATTCGCCAAACAAAACATAGTGGTTAGATATGTATGTAATAAAAAATAGGAAAGTTATATTTTGTTGGTCGTCAATTAGGATTTTTTTGGTTATCAACCAAGCGAATCATGATTCATTTGACCAAAAATCCAAAAAAAGAAAGAATTGTTATAATTTATAAAAGAGACAAGAATATAAAATAAGATAAAAGAGAGTATATAAATGGAGAGCGTTGGGGATGATTGTCGTTGTCTATCTCTCAACTAATAAGCCAACAACAACATGTGTGACGCGCGTTTCCATGAATCGTCCGTGTTTGGTACTATTAGCGTAGCCACTTCATTCCCTCTTTCTCATCATCATTCACTCTCGTTCACCCTCAATTTATTATTCTACTCTTTTATCTTATTTATTTTTCTTAATGTTTCATAGAAAAAATAGCATTCCATGTGATTCGTATGCAAATGATTTACCTAATCAACCATCAGTGATCACATAAGTTCTGTGAGGTGTGAATTCATATAGTAATAATTTCCAACAGATTGATTTTTTTCTCTATTGTTTTTTTTTTTTTTTTGAAAATGGCCTTCAAATTTTTTTCTCTATTGTTGATATATCGATTTTTTCTCAGTTGAGAAAATGTTGATTCTGCTCTTTATTAGTATTAGGAATATAATTAGTGAGATTATTATATACATTTTTGATATTGTTTTGCCACTTAAACCAACATGAGAAAACCTCTGCAACAAGGCAAAACCGCTCTGTCACAAACACTTTGTTAATTTGATTACTTTTGCATGTATGTTTTACAGTTTTAATCTCATTGAATTATAGTACAAAGAAAAAAAAATGATTAGTCTCTATGGATTAGTTGCCATTTGCCACAACACTTATAGCTTTAGGCTTACCCATTTATCACATGTCATGTTTTAACTTTCGATGCTTAAACTTTTTGGTTAATCAATATGACTTCAGTCAACACGACTCTTAGAGGAGGGTAAATTCCTAACAGTGGTTGAGCAAGTAAGAGGTTAGAAGTGTCCAGTAGAACTCTCTTTATCTGGAAAATATCGCCCCTGTTTGTCAACATGACTGTAGTCAATACGATGCCAAAGGTTCATGCTAGAAATGGTATCAGAGCCTAAGTGTTTTCGAATTGATAGAAAGAATCATCGTTTATGATTGTTTGTTTTGAATGTTCTGGAAAACACCCTCTCACAATGTCCACATCAAATCCTTTGTCAATCCATTCTCAATTTCTACTCTACCTAAAAACAGAAGCCGTTCATCTTCTTCCAATATAAATTCCCTCTAAGAAATCGAATATGTTTCGGGTGATCAACTACTCGAAACTACTCTTCCACTTGTAAACCCATATGAATACATTGCTAAAAAACCTAGCGCTTTTTCGGTCAAAGGTGTCTGCGAGCTTATTAAACCATCTTCAAATAGAAGAGTAATGGAGTACGTCCAGTCAAGCAAATTCTCATCTTGCCAAGTCCCAGCCACTGAAGAAGAGCAATTCATTTCACTCAACATCCCCGAAAATCTACCAAGGCTATGGCAACAACATGGATATACTCATCTTCACTTTGGAGTAGTACGAATCGGTCTGACCCTTCATGCTCGAAAAGGTCTACCAGTAGTCGCTCGCATAGCTTTAGTCGACTCGAGACTAAAGTCCTATCAACAAGCCTGCATCAGAACGGTTCAGACAACGTTAAACGCAGGAACAGTGTTTGTCACACTATTCCCAAACTTTAACGTTTCACTGAAAGATCCAAATCTGCTACAAACACTGAAGGTCCAGTTGCAATTGGTGGGAGCACCAATGCAAGAAAAGAGCGTCATAGCAACCCTACACCATCAGATCGTCTACCGAATTCAAGATCATGCGCTTGATCTTGCACTACCATCCTCTGATGCAGCCTTGTATCTCGAAGTCACCTCGGCATCACATGCACCAAACTCAATTCAGATCCCTCGGCAGATCTCCCTTGACGAATTACTTCGTTGACTACCAGAATCATGGGTCACGAGTTATGAGAAGCTCCATAAAGCATCCCAGACTCCGGTTCAAACATCAGAAGTCAGTTTCCACTCACGAAACGACGAGACAAGAGAAATAAAGTTCGAAAAACCAAGATCTTCATCGTTTCGGAAATAACTATTCACTTAATTTGCCATACAAATTGATGAACATGAATTCCATGAACCATTCAAAGCTGGAGCTCTACAACCTCTTTCTTTCGGTCAAGACGGATCGGTAGTCTACCCCTTCAAGGATGAGAACGGACATCAATACTTTGATGTATGTTCCTGCACAGCTTGCACATAAGATTTTTACGAATCCGATGAAGAAATCCGCCAAAGACAAAGGAAAAAGAAAGATCCTCTTTACAAGAGGTATCTTGAGGGTGATCCCACTGTCGGACCACTAGGCGACGATAAGTACGATTTCATTGTCCAATACTCGGAGAAAAGGGAAGAACCCCAAATCTTAATGATGCAAGCAAACATTTTCCCTCCACCTGAAGATTTCACCAATGACGGTATCACTCATAGTCCGAAGATCCTTACAAGAGCCGTCAACTCCACCGGACCTGACCAGTTGAGCCAAGGAGAGAAGGTCCTTAATTGGCAAACAGAAAATGCCCTCGCCCAAAATCAACTTCTGATAACAATAAATCACAAGGTTGATCAACTCACTGATGGCTACAACAAAAGATTGAGTAGCCTACAAAACTCAATAATGGAGATCCACGGCCGACTCAACAATCTTCATCAAGAGATGAAAACTATGGCATAACACATGATGTTCAATACATCTCACTTCAGAAGCAGAGAAGCTGAGACAGCCAGCCTAAAAAGCATGATTCACAACCATAATCAATCTGACGCATACTTTAATCCTCTCGGAAGTATGCCATCATGATTTCCTACATATCAGGGATCAGACTCTCCAGGATTTCTTTTGGGTTATCAAGAACCTAAGATGAAGACATCTCTTCCAGGTTTCCTTTCATCAGACGAGGCTTTCACATCTCGATATGGCACGCCATCGGCTAGCAATTTCAAAACAAAGACAATCGGGCGAAACCAAGAAGACAAAAGGAATCAGAATTCCTAGTCAATCCAAGTAAGAAATCGACTCTAACCTCTTCTTCAAGCCATGAATCCATTGAAGATTCGAAGCAGAAAGAAAAAGATATTGGGATAATCGAATTCTCGATGTCCAATCTGCTTGATACTATTGGTCAAACTTCTAGAGAAACAACGCAACCACCTCAGGACAGCTCAACCAAACCGATCGAGATGATTAATTATTTTTCTGACACAAGTGCCAATAGCTGCGACGATAATTCAGACAAAGAATCTCTCCCGAAGCAATTTGCCATCGGAGAAGGATCAACTGCCCCCAAAAGAAAACCAAACATAAATGAGGTGTTTTTAAGCGATGAAGAAATGAGTTACACACGCCCCCAAAATCAAGAACCTCCACCTAAGCAGTTCACTTCTAAAGTCATGATCTTCACGTTCAATGACATTCCTTTTGAAAAATGGAATGACCGACTCGACGAATTTCATGCATGGATGACTTCGGAAGCCATTACATCACCCCTGGAGCTAGTCATTCAGCTATTCATGACACGACTATCAGGAGCCCTCAAAGAATGGTGGAACTCGCTCGGTGAGTACCGACAGCAGCAAGTCTATCAAACGACTATCCCTTTGCTCCTCGGAGAGATTCACAGAGAATTCATCGGTACACCTACTCACCTAAAGGAGCAACTACAAGAAGAATTCTTTTCAGCAAAGTGCTGCTCGCTCAAGAAGAAGGATTTGGCTAAACATTTTGAACGTCAAACACGGAGGTATTATGCGCTTAATGGTCTTAATAACCCAAGCTTGAAGCAAGTCTATCTTTCCTCCATTGATGACTACCTGAGTCAACAAACCATGTTGTACATCAGGGACCAAAGACAGACAATCAAAGAAATATTTATTGGTCAAATCCAACAATATGTCTTCCGGACACTCGATAAGCTTTGCAAGCAGAAGGAATTCTGGATGGAATTCATGGACAAATCAAAGCAACTGTCCAAGATATGTGCCAGGCCAGACCTCTCAATCAAGTGTTCCAAATCCAAGAAGACTTATTCATGCGACACTCGAGGCAAATCTCGGAAATTTAGAAAGCTATTCCGAGGACGCTTTAACAAGTTCAGGCGTAAGCATTTCTTCAGAAAGAAACGAAGCTTCGAAAAGATGACGAGATGCTTTTTATGCCGTAAAGAAGGACATTTCGCAAAAAATTGTCCAAATAAGTCAAAGAAGAAGAAGCAGTATCTTATTAACCCCAGATATCGACCTCGATAATCATGACCTCGAATCCGTTCTATCATACGATAATGACGACAATGATGCTATCTGCGGATACTCAGATTCTGAGGTTTCATCCGAATCATCATCCGATGAAGAAAAGGAAGATTGTTGCTTTAAAATCACTGAAATTCCACGTTAGGATGAAGTTCAACCGCCATACTTGCCGGTCACGATCTTTGATCCACGAAGAAAAAAAGAACCAGTTCATGCTATCGCATTCATAGATACGGGCACTCATTCATCTATAATGAATCTCAAAGTTCTTCTGTCTTCAATGTGGCTGCCACACCAACAAGAGTTCCAGGTCGCAAACGCTGGCTCGCTATCCGTCAAGCTCAAATCCAAAGCAATAACCATAGAAATCTTCCCAGGATGTCAAGTTACAACAGAAGTTTTAGGGTCTTCTGCGCCAGGAAAAGATTTAATCATGGGATGGGATACATACTATGCGTTAAAGAAGAAGTTTGATATCTCACTCGAACTGAGGAATGAAATGGAAGTCTTTCTACAAAGCCTTCACAAAAATACCTCGCATATTTTCACTTGAAGAAGGAGCGCCTCCTGAGTTCAACAAGATCAAAGAAGAAATCACGATAATCTGCTGTTCAGATTCCCATACGGATTTCCTTCAGAAGTGTAACAATCCACTATGGCTAAATTCAGAGTTCTTTGTGTCACTACCTTTCAAGGAAGATGTTCACACCACTCCGACAAAAGCAAGTCATGCAGGAATGCCACCTACCTTATTGCAACAGGCGAACAAAGAATGTAACCAACTGGTCAATCAAGGAATCGTCTCAGAAACAAATTCACTATGGGCATGCAAAGCATTTTATGTTAATAACAGAGCAGAACAAGCAAGAGGAAAGCTCAGGTTAGTTATCGATTACAAGCCCTTGATCCAATATCTTCAAGATATCAAGTTCCCTCTGCCAAACAAAAGGGCCCTTCTGCAGCATCTACAAGGAGCAACAGTATTTTCAAAGTTCGACCTCAAATCAGGGTTCTGGCAACTTGGAGTTCACCCAGAAGAAAGGTACAAGACAGCATTTTGTCTTCCAAATCGCCATCTTCAGTGGCGTGTTTTGCCTTTTGGATTAAAGACAGCACCCTCACTATTCCAGCAGGCGATGCTAAGGATATTCAAGCCACTAATCGACACAGCGCTAATTTACATCGACGACATTCTCTTATTTTCGTCAAGTACAACATAGCACATTCAGACTCTCAGGAAGTTTCAAAGCATTGTCAAGGAATTCGGAATTATGCTCTTGGCCCGAAAGATGATTATAGCCCAGCCCAACATCGACTTTCTTGGAATTAAGATTAACAACAGACAGATAACGCCTCAGTCCCATCAAGCTACAGCGTTTCTTGATTTTCCACACGAAAATCTTACAAGGCGACAAGTTCAGCAATTCCTTGGGATAATCAATTATGTAAGTGATTTTATCCCGTAACTTTCGCAGTTGACAAGAACACTCCAAAAAATGCTGACTAAGAATCCACCTCAATGGGCAAAATGACAAACAGAAGCAGTCAAAAGGCTAAAGTTAGAGATACAGAAGCTACCACATCTGAAGATTCCCTCCTCGGGGAAACGCATTCTACAGACTGATGCGAGTGACAAATATTAGGGAGCCATATTGTTCGAAGAGACAAATGGGAAACGTCAAATCTGCAGATATAAAAGCGGACGCTTTAAAGACGCAGAGCTGCATTATCACTCCACATTCAAAGAAATCTTAGCGGTCAAAAAAAGCTATCGAGAAGTTCGAGTTCCATCTGATTGGACATAAATTTTGCATCGAAATGGATATGTCCTCTTTCCCAAAGATGCTACAATTCAAGCAAAAAATAGGCCCACACCAGCAGCTATTACGATAGAGCGAATGGTTTTCAAAGTACGACTTCAAATCCTTTTATTTAAAGGGCAAGAAAAATACTCTTGCAGACATGCTCAGCCGAAACCCACCAAAAGAAATTCACCTCATGGCAAGCTCATCCACTTCGACAAAGCGTTACTTGACTTTGAAGCCAACATGCCCGAAGACGCCCATCAGCTAATCCAAAGAAACTCTCTGCACAAACATCTTCAGCATAAAATCTTCCACTACCAGTCGATCATCCTCTCAAAATACGGTATCAACTGTCACTACATCGCACCAATGAGAATTCACCCAGACTATCCGTTCGCTCACCTCTACTGGATCGAAAATTCAAATATGCCTGAAGAAGTTCTATGCTTCCTATGGTATCTATGCTCGGTCTACACCATAGGCATCACGTTCGACATCGAGTGGTTATATCAGTACATCAATGCCCATCAAGGTCAGAAGGAATGTTTCTCAACTTTCCTAACATGGTTTGCATCTTTCAACATCTGGAACGGAAAACTAAGAAGATCAGCAAAAGCAACAAGCTTACCATTCAAGAAATTACGAGGTCAAAGAAGCCTCAATCTGTTCTTCAACCCTCACTCTATATACTTCTTCCACCGACCTGTTCAAATCAACATCAAATCCGGCAAACTTCATGCTCTACCCACACTCATCCACCACAATGACTACAAAAGAGCTATCCGCCCAGACTTCAATATACATGACGACAAACCGTATGAAGACTTTCAAACGCACGCATTTCGCCTCAACAATGCCAGACAGACTTTCCCCATTACATTCATCCCAAGCTGGATCTACTACTCTGCTGACTACCAGATGAGCCTCGACAAAGATTTACAATATTTCATATTGAAACACGAAAACATGACAGATGCTACGAAAGGTCAAAAGACAGATCAGCTCGGAGATGGTAAAACAAGAAGAAATGTCTCAACAAGTGTCTCAACAATACCCGCCGGAATATTTCCAAGATGCACAACTCCTCCACATTAATGGCAATTTACATTAATGGCAATTTATGTTTTTGTAAGCTTAAAATAGCTTGACAGTCAAGCAAAGTATATCTAGGAGATATCTAGATATACATATAAGAGATTTAGGAGTTATCTAAAATATGTAAGTTTTCCTAAAAGGTTTAGGAAATCTTCTTTGTCGTTCTATATATAAGGAGATGCTAAAGTTGTAGCATAACTTATGAGATTTGCGACGTAAAGTTTTGAGTTATTTTCCTTAAGCTAATAAGATAGTTATTCTAAATATTTGTGTTCTTAAAATCGAGCTTCTATATTTGGTATCAGAGCTTTTGGTTACGTGAAGAAGGTATGCGGAAAAATCAATTCATCATGAGTGACAAGAATAATGAAATGATCGATATCAAACCCAAGGATATCGGGACTTCCTCCATGAAGTGTCCTATGCTGAACACCATGAATTACACCGTTTGGTCGATGCAAATGAATATTACCCTCAAGGTAAACAAAGTATGGGAAACTATAGATCCTGGAGTTAAAGACGAAGACAAAAACAACATGGTGATTGCCTTGTTGTTTCAATCCATACCAGAAACCTTGATCCTGCAAGTTGGAGACCTTGATACCTCAAAAGCAATATGGGATGCAATAAAGACAGGACACGTTGGAGCTGAGAGGGTAAGGGAGGCTAGGCTACAAACCCTAATGGCAGAGTTCGATAGAATCAAGATGAAAGAAACTGATCCAATCGATGCATTCATGGGAAAGCCTTTGAAATCTCTTCTAAATCAGCAGCCCTTGGAGAAACCATTGACGAACCAAAGCTTGTAAAGAAATTTCTTAAGAGTCCACCACGAAAAAGATACATACATCTCGAACAAGTCCTTGACCTTAACACAACCAACTTTGAAGACATTGTAGGAAGGTTAAAGGCTTATGAGGAAAGAATTGGTGAAGAAGAAGAAGAGGAACATGATGATCAAGGTAAACTTATGTATGCAAACAAGGAGTTGCGATTTGGTGGAAAGCAGGACAATGTCGGAAGCAGTAGAGGCAGGGGTCGTTTTAACTGGAGAGGAAGAGGCTGTGGACGGTATGTCAATAATAAAAATGGATGGTACAGACAGGAACGAGACAAGTCTAATATAACTTGCTATCAATGTGACAAGTTAGGGCATTATGCGTCTAACTGTCTGGATAGATTACTTAAGCTCCAAGAAGTAATGGAGAATGAAGATGATGATACTCAAGATGCTGACGAATTAATGGTACACGAGGTGGTGTATCTCAACGAGAAAAAGGTCAATTCAAGTATTTTTGAAGACGACCAAGATACAAACAACTTGTGGTATCTCGACAATAGAGCGAGTAGCCATATGTGTGGAAATCGAAGTTTCTTCTTAGACCTTAATGAAACAATTACGGGAAAAGTAAGGTTTGGCGATGATTCTCGTGTTGATATCAAAGAAAAAGGAACATTTCGCTTCGTGTTTGAAAACGGTGTGAAGAAGGTTCTAAACAATGTATACTTCATCCCGGAGTTGAAGAGCAATATCGTGAGTCTTGGGCAAGCCACAGAAGCAGGGTGTGAAGTTCGAATGAAAGATAACCTTTTGACATTATTTGATTGAAATGGACAACTTTTGATAAGAACCACCAGATCCAAGTACCGACTGTACAAAGTGATTATGGAGGTCGAGAGCATCAAATGCCTACATTTGGTTTCATTGAGTGAATCAACGAAGTGGCATACACGTCTAGGGCACATCAGTCTGGAGACAATGAAGATGATGGTTAACAAAGATCTGGTGATGGGTATACTAAGCATTACAATGGAGAAAGAGACTTGTGCGGCATGTTTACATGGGAAACAGATGAGACAACCTTTTCCACAAGCAACTACATACCGTGCCACTCAAGTACTCGAACTCATACATGGAGATCTCTGCGGACCTATCACACCTCCAACACCAGCACATAAGAGGTATGTTTTTGTTCTCATTGATGATTACTCTCGCTACATGTGGAAGATCTTGCTAAAGGAGAAGAGCAAAGCATTTGACAAGTTCAAAAAATTCAAGACACTAGCCAAGCAAGAAACAAGATCAATGATCAGGACGTTTCGTTCAGATAGAGGTGGAGAGTATGTATCTTATGAGTTTCAAACCTTTTGTGAGAAACACGGTATCAAAAAACACCTAACTGCACCTTATTCCCCTCAACAGAACGGAGTTGTCGAGAGAAGGAACAGGACTTTGTTGGAGATGACTAGAAGCATCTTGAAACACATGTGTATACCAAACTATCTATAGGGAGAAGCTGTGAGACATGCCACCTATCTGATAAATAGGGTTGGGACAAGATCATTAATGGCACAAACTCCATATGAAGTCTTCAAAGGCAGGAAACCAAATCTTGAACACCTTTGAATTTTTGGTTGTATCGGTTATACAAGAACAGAGACTGTTGGTTGAAAGAAATTGGATGATAGATCATTTGTTTTGATCCATATTGGAACGGAACCTGGGTCAAAAGCATATCGACTATTAGATCATACAAATCAAAGAATCATCATCAGCAGAGACGTAGTATTCAATGAAAGCAAAGGATGGAAGTGGAATAATCAAGAAGAAGAATAAAATAGCATATATTCTGGAATGTTCAGTTTTACTTTCGAAAGAAGTGGTAACATAAGGGAGAGCGAGGGTGTTATAGAAAACGAGAACAATGATGAAGAAACTGAACCCCAAGTTGTAAACAATGATGAAAGTGACACCAAGGAACCGAGGATGATGAGGAACGACTTCTAAGGCAATCAATAAGGTCACACAGGAGACCAGAACATATGAATGATTATCAGGTTCGCTATCATTATCTTGCAGAAGTTGAATGCGAACGCCTCTTGATCATGATAAACGAGGAGCCATGGAATTTCAGTGAAGAAAAAGAGTCGAAAGAATGGATAATAACATGTGAGGATGAGATAGCTTCCATAATAAAGAACAAATGCTGGGATTTGGTTGATCTACCAAGCGGAGCCAAACCAATTAGGCTAAAGTGGGTTTTTAAGATCAAACAAAACCCTGATGGAAGCATCAACAAACACAAGGCTAGACTGGATGCAAAGGGCTATATTCAAAGACATGGTATCGATTTTGATAAAGTATTTGCACCAGTAGCTCGCATTGAGACCATTCGATTTCTCATTGCTCTAGCAGCTTCTAATGATTGGGAGGTGCACCATCTTGATCTCAAGACAGCGTTTCTCCATGGCGAACTAAAAGAAGAAGTGTATGTTACTCAACCGGATGGATTTGTAATCAAAGAAAGTGAGAACAAAGTATACAAGCTAAAGAAGGTGCTTTATCGACTGAAGCAAGCTCCACGGACATGGAATGAGAAACTGAATAAGATCCTCAAAAGAGTTAAACTTTGTCAAGTGTTCAAAGGAACCATCACTATACCAAAAGAAAGAGAAGGAGCATCTTCTCATTGTTGCTGTTTATGTGGATGATTTATTGGTCACAGGATCCAACATGAAGATGATACTTGGCTTCAAGAGCGAAATGGCTACAAAATTTGAGATGCGTGATCTTGGAAGATTAACTTATTACCTTGGCATCGAGGTGATTCAGCACGAGGATGGCATAACGCTGAAGCAAGAAATATATGCATCTAGAATCTTAGAAGAAGCTGGAATGAATGAATGTAATGCATCTCAAGTACCAATGGATCAGAATGTGAAACTATCAAAAGGGCTAGAAGAAAGACGCATCAATGAGAAAGATTACATAAGAAGTATTGGGTGCCTCCGCTATTTACTTCATACTTGACCTGACCTTGCTTTCAGTGTTGGGTTACATAGTTGCTATATGTAAGAACTGAAGGAGTCTCATGGAACAGCTCTAAAACAAATTCTAAGGTACTTACGATGAACCTTATCTCATGGTCTTGTATTTAAGCGTACAAAACGGTACGAGACTGGTAGGATATACCGACAGTAGTCACAATGTGGATGTAGATGATGGAAAAAGCACGTCTGGCCATATTTTTTACTTTGCTGAGTGTCCTTTTACGTGGTGTTCATGCAAACAAGAGACCGTAGCACTCTCATCTTGTGAAGCCGAGTTTATGGCAGCTACAGAAGCAGCGAAATAAGCAATTTGGCTACAGGAACTCTTTGCCGAGATAAATGGCAGGGAATGCAAGAAGGTGACTATTCGAGTTGACAATAAATCCGCTATAACACTTACTAAGAATCCAGTCTTCCATGGTCGAAGTAAGCATATACACAGAAGGTACCATTTTATAAGAGAGTGTGTTAAAAATGAACAAGTAGAGGTCAAGCATATTCTGGGAAACGAACAGAAGACTGATATTTTGACAAAGGCACTTGAAAAAATCAAATTCAAAAAAATGAAGAACTTTATTGGAGTTCAAGAGATAAGAGAAGATGAATTTAAACTTAAAGGAAAAAATATTATTATAAGCTTTAAATAGCTTAACGGTCAAGTAAAATATATCTAAGAGATATCTATATATATATATATATATATAAGAGATTTAAGAATTATCTAAAATATGTAAGTTTTTCTAAACAGTTTAGAAAATATTCTTTATCGTTTTCTATATAAAAAGATGCTAAAGTTGTAACATAACTTATAAAATTTGTGACTTGAAAGTTTTGAGTTATTTTTCTTAAGTTAATAAGATAGTTATTCTAAATCTTTATGCTCTTAAAATCGAGCTTCTATAATTTATTTTTATTATTTAATTTATTTTGGTGCTGATGAAAAAACATGAAACTATTTAAGATTTCTCTGCCATAGAAGATACTTCGCAGTGCTGTGTAAATGCATTTCTCTCTCGTACACTAACTCTCTTGAATTTTATCCAGAAGTTTGTACAGACACCTTGTAAAAAAAAAAAAAAGTTTGTACATACATATATATATATATAGTATATTGGTTTTAATTTATCACCTTCTCAACAATAAATTATTTAATTTCTGCGTTTAGTTCTGATTAGACCCTAATAAATTAAAGTTTCTTGTTACACAAAAAAACGAGAAAACAGTTATTTAAATACCCAACTATTCAATTTTTGCCAAAATAATAACAAACTCTTCATTAAGCTAAAATAAAGACAAACTTATGTTGACCAGGTTAAAATAGATATGAGATTAGTCAAGCTTAACAATCGTTTAAATGGTGTTAACCACCATTTACTGTTTAAACGTCGTTTGCAACAGCAACAAAAGAAAAACCAAAACCAAAAGTCCAGAAATTGATTTCCAATCCCTGATTCCCAACACAACTTCTTCTTCTCCAAATCGGTTTCTTCGAAACCGTGAGACCTCCCTCACAAAGACTATTTAGTAAGTTATATGTTTTTTGTGGTTTTGCATCGATTTTGACATTTGTAAAGCTGTTTTTCGTTACTGTTTTGATGGTTACGTATTGGGTTATGTTGTTGTGACTGAAGATTATGATTATACTCTGGTGAATTGTTGCAGATGGAGATATTTATGGTGCTTGTAGATGGGCAACATTGCGAAGTTTACCATCCCAAAACGGTTGTAGATTCCTTTTGCAGAACTACTGGTGAGAATTTACCTGATTCAAATGATTTCATACAGAGAAGAGGCTCTCAAAGCAAAGCATATCACTGAGAGAAGATTTGCAGATAAAGATTTTATGAGCGCAAGAAGTTACGCGCTAAGGGAGAGGTTACTGTAGACTTGGAGGGTTTGTCTCTTATGGTCACGTCTGAAGTTTATGTAGCTTCCCCGGATTGACATAGCGGGAGATTGATTACTACGCAGTTCTTGGGCTAAAAACCATCAGCTGGGAAAAGAGAAGTGAAAGAAACAGTATAAGAAGATGATTGTATTGCTCCATCCAGACAAGAACAAATGCCTCGGAGCTAACGGGGCATTCTAGATCATATCTAAAGCACTTTCTATTACAAAAGAAAGAAACTTACAAGCTGCAACCACTTCTTCTTTAATAGCTACGCTATTGCCGTCGTTCTCTAACTCACCACCATTCTCTTCAGTAGTAACCGGGCAATATCATCTTCTGGCATATCTTCACGATCGTTTCCATAACATGGTGTGAGATTCTTCATTCTGGTCATATAACGTGGTGTGAGTTTGAGCGATGGCGATTTGACGCTGTAGATGAGATTTTGGAGAAGAAGAAATCGATTTGTGATTTTGGAGAAGAAGAAATCGGTTTTATTTTTTATGCTAATCGTAAACGGTGGCTAACACCAGTTAAAGTTTGTTAAGTTTGACTAATTTCATACCTAATTTAGCTAAGTCCAACATAAGTTTGTGTTTATTTTAACTCAACGAAGAATTTGTACTTATTTTAGCAAAACTCCGCTAGTTTGGTATTTAATTGCCCGTTTCCCCCAAAAAAAACACTGAAAGTTTCTTAGATGTCTTTTTCTCTACCAGTTTCAGACAACTCTTCCTTTGCAGAGTAAGAAGAACCATTATCTAATTCATAGAGCTCTTCATCTTCATCTTCAGAATCAGCTTCAGTGTCCGAACAGCTCAAATAAAGCTTATTCCGGTGATGATCACATGATTCCGATGGAGAATCATCCAAGATCGAAAGAGGATTTCTCTTACTCGGATCATCATAAAGAGCAACATGCCTGTAGTATAGTTCAAGCTCCTTCTCTGCAATCGCTATAAAATGTCTCACCGATTCAAGAGATTGTTCATACTTCGATCTTTCATATGCCTGCAAAAAAGAAACACAATACCATTGTTAGGAACTAACAAACAAAACATACCCATCCTCTGCTTTCTTTTAAACAGATTACGTGAGTGCAAATACCTCTCACTCATCTACAACAAGATGCCAAAACTAATAACAATCTTTGAGAAACTTACCTTTTTCTTGGACAATGTATCGATAGGAGACATAACTTTCGGCTGAACATAACCTTTCCCTCTATAAAATATGATCGTGTCATCGCCGGTGATGTTAACAGGAACACCACCACTGAGTTTAGCAAGCTCCTCCGCGTACTGTTGAACTTGTCCCGGCTTGCTATTATTGCATATAACCTTAACCGTTTCGTGCTTCTTCCAATGAAGATGCATGTTTAGAATCACACCACCAAACACTCCTCTTCTCCCAATGGGAACATAGTTGGATCTTTTCTGACCCATTTTCTTCAAGTAGAAACGTTCTTCCCCTGTAATCTCATGTGGTTGAACCTCAGGTCCCTGCACTTTGGCAACTTCGTACCTTTTGAGTTTCTCAATCAGAAATGCTTCTTTGATTTTGGCCTGATTACAAGAACAAACACACAACTAGTTAAAAATTTCAATTCAAGAAATCAAATCCATAGAATTTAGTATTTGAATTTTAGACCTTTTCGAGCTTATGCTTGATTCTTTCATCTACGTTTTCAAACTTCCTCTTCTTCCCTTTGACGGTAAGTCTCCGTGGGTCTTTCCTGTTGGCTGCGTTTCTTTCTTCTCTTTCTTTCTTTCTTTTCAACTTCAGCCTTTTCTTACTCAGCCACTTCCATTTCTTGGGAGGATCAAATTCTCGAGTTTCGAATTTTGGTTTCCCTTCTGATATCACTAGGTTCACCGTACCATGGCTAAAGTTTCTTCTACATATCTGCCTCGGAATCGTTGAGATGTTCTGTATCAAGAATGTCGATGTTGTAGACGAAGAAAGCTCTTGGCTTTGCTGAAGCAACCTAGTGGGATTTTTTTTACAAGTAACATAATCACATTTCGGATATAACATATGAGCTATTTTGTTGTAATAATGGTTTTAGATATGATACAGACCTGGAAGAAATGAGAAGTGGATATGAAGATCTAAGAAGAGATGAAGTTTTCTGAAGACTACGAACAAAAGCTATTGCCATCAAGATTGTGACAAGCTTTCTTTATTGAATGCAAATTTTCTCAAGAACCGAGTGTCGTTTCATGTAGAACAAGATCTAAGGAGCTACAGACACAAAGTTTGAAAAAGCATTTAATCGAACACGTGGTGAACAATCCGAGCAAGAACCAGAAAAGACATGCTTCAGTAGTTACTTTGATAAAAAAATTTCTAAATTGGCATTCAATTAGATGAGATTGTAATCCAACGAATTCAGAATAACATCTAGCTACAAACACACAAAAAAGTTCGAAGAAGCATTTTATCGAACATGTGGTAAACACACCAAGCAAGAACAAGAAAATTTACCAAATTGGCTTTGAGAATTTTTTTTTTTAAAATTGAGATTGAATTAGATGAGGATCGTAATTCAAATTGAGAGAAAGGCGATTTGACTCACGAGCAAGGTGATGATAACGGCGAAAGCGGCGGCGAGACAACGAGAGACCGACAAAGATCGCGTGCAGACGCGGTGTCGATGTCTGTCTGATATTTGAAAATACTATAACACCCTTACTTATATTTTCATTAAATTTGTTTTTTTTTTAACGGTTAAATAATAGACTAATGACATCTTCTTACAAAATAAAAGTTACTTACCATAATCAATTTCAATGAACAAGAAAAATATAATTAACAGAGATAAAAGAAATGATATTCAAATATTTTTATTAAAAAATTCATAGCGATGATGATTTTGTATTTGTTATGAGGATTTAAACATAGTTTAATTGTCTTTTTGTGTGACTGATGATAGTTTCTAATGATTTATCAAAATAATAAAATATTGATTTGAATCCGGGCTAATTATCAGAACGTTTTGGTTCGTTTCATTTCATGTTTTGTGAAGAATCAACAAGTTGTGTAATTAACTCATTAGCATACTGATCATTAAAAGATAACCATATTCAGCTTTTAATAAAAAGAGATATAGATAGGAAAAAAATGCGACAAGAAAACAAAATAATGCGATAATAAAAAGCTGAAATTGTAAAAAACTATATAAAGCTGTAGAAAAGAGTCTATCTAGATTTTGTATTCTCTTAACTAACTCCACAATGCAGAACAATCGGTGGCGGAAAAAGAAATAAGCTGTGAAGAAGTATCATAATTCATAACCAATCAAATAATTGTTTTGTGCTCTGTTTCATAGATCGCATATTCATCAGGACCACCACACAAAATCGCCAAACAATACGATCTTCCACGACTCACAAACATATTGTAATGCTCCATCTCAAGATCAGTACCTCCGGAGAAATGCATCGTGATCACCGGATACTTCGTAACATCGTCGGTATTGTAACAAAACGGCCCGTCCGATAAAGCTGATCGTTCGGCTGTGCATGCGCAGCTTTATTAACAGCATCCCTCACTATGTTGCAATAGCTTTCGGGCAAGTGCGTGTAAGTAGTTCCAGAGTCTATGATTATGTTCCCTTCTAACGAGTGAAAGTCTGTCCCCAACGTCTCAACTCTTGTTTCTCCGACACTAATGGCGTCTAATATTTTTACAATATTCCTTTTTAGAGGAAAAAATAAAGGAACACATTGGAGAGAAATACACCTATCTTTTAGAATTCCTCTATTTTAGAGAAACACATTGGAGATGGTCTAAGTCGTTCTTTCTAAAGATAGTCGTTGCAGCGACCCCATCTCCCGCCAGGATAGCATTATCTCCAAAGTTGATCTTACTAGTTCCTATACCGGAGAAGCAGTAAGAGAAATGACCTGAGTAGTCTTCTCTCATCTGAGAGACGAGTGATAAAGCTCCCCAATTTAGACCAACGATCCCCGAAGCGTTCGGGGTCAAGAATTCTGAGTTGTCGTGGCCACAACCTATGGTGGTTTCAGGCATCACAAAGGGTTGGCCTGAAGTCGATTGGATCGTGACCGTCTCGGTCGCGTACGTTCCTTTGGTGTATTCATGGTCTGCGTAGGTGATGTCGTAAGTACAAGTGTGGCCGTGGTGGCATTTTTTGTCTTATGTATGTTGAGGATTTCGAAGGATCGAATATGGGAGATTGTTGGTTGAAGCAGTTGATACAAGGCAAGCATTGTGTCCATATGACATCGCTTCCGGTGTATATTACAGCTTCGATCTCGACAGGAGGAGTACCGATTTGTAGTTTCATTACGTACGAGTTGAATTCAAAGACGGTGTTTGCGTAAGGAGATGATCCATCGTTAGTGTTTAAGGATCGAGATGAAGAGGAGTTAGTGCGACGGTGGAATAAGTCGAATGTTAAGCCGCCGAGAGGAGGTGATGGCGAGGGCCGTGAGGAAGTGGTGGTAGTGAAGAGAAAAGATGTAATGATTTGAAGAAGGAGAACGATCATTGTAGTTGCAAGAGACATGATGATCGAATAGTGTTTGGTTTTGAGATACAATGCTATATGACTTCATTCATGCATGTATATACACTTCGGACGTTTGTCGTAATTGTTTATTGTCCTGATTTATCAACTTTGTCCAATTTTGTTATTTCAATCACGGTCTTGTAACCTAGAATTTTACTTATTAGTTATTAATTTTTACTTTTGTTTTCGAGTTTTTCCATTTTTGTTTTTGCTTTGCATTAAAGGAAATTAGATCACTTTCTTATGGCGAAATGTGTATATCATTTATTGTCCTGAGTAGGGTATTGTTGTAGAGTACTTTTTACTCTCTCTTTTTATTTATTTTTGTCAAATTACTAATTTTCCTTTTGTAGATCGGTCTTCATTGTTTTGCTTACAATTATTTGGTTCATCTACTATCAACACAACAATAACCCATAAGTCTCTCCATGGCTTGACACATCAGCATTTTCAAGCTTTTAAGAGATGATACTTCAGAAAAAAAATACACCAATAAAAACATTTCATTAATACAAATCATCAATGTATTTTAACTTTTAAATTGAAACCCATTAAAAACTCAAATATTTTTTATTGTTAATTTTAGTTTTATTTTTTGGTCAAGCATAAGCCTAAATAATAAATAACAACAAATAAAAAAAATTTATTTATTTGCCAAACCCAAATAATAAATAACAACAAATAATAAAATTAAATCTTTGTTTTATATTTTTGCCAAACCGAAACTCAAATAATAAAAAACAGCAAAAAAAAAATTAAAATTTCTACCTATGTGTTTGCTTGATAGATACGTATATGATTAAAGAAAGTGTAGACTCATCATCAACTATGCTTCCATAACAACAATGCAAAAAACGTTATGTTATAAGAAGCTCACACATCAACAAAAATTTGAACCAATAAAAACATAACAATAATACATATTATTAACACACTAATAAAATCAATTTACTATTTTGCTGACCCATTAAAAAGCCCAAAGTTTTCAAAAAAAAAATGGAAGGCGAAAGCAAATGAGGAGAAACTCAGACCACCACAGCTTGGAGATTCACGTTTCCACTGGTTACCGAGAACAAATTTCCTTGGGTTTGGCGGAAATAGAAAATTTCTTGGTTTTGACAACAATAACCCATAAGTCTCTCCATGGCTTGACACATCAGCATTTTCAAGCTTTTAGGAGATGACACTTCAGAAAACAAAATACACCAATAAAAATATTTCATTAATACAAGTCATCAATATATTTTAACTTTTAAATTTAAACCCATTAAAAACCCAATTATTTTTTATTGTTAATTTTAGTTTTATTTTTTTGGTCAAGCATAAGCCCAAATAATAAATAACAGCAAATAAAAAAATTGTTTTATTTTTTTGTCAAACCCAAATAATAAATAACAACAAATAATAAAATTAAATCTTTGTTTTATATTTTTGCCAAACCGAAACTCAAATAATAAAAACAGCAAAAAAAATTAAAATTTCTACCTATGTGTTTGCTTGATAGATACGTATATGATTAAAGAAAGTGTAGACTCATCATCAACTATGCTTCCATAACAACAATGCAAAAAGCGTTATGTTATAAGAAGCTCACACATCAACAAAAATTTGAACCAATAAAAACATAACAATAATACATATTATTAACACACTAATAAAATCAATTTACTATTTTGCTGACCCATTAAAAAGCCCAAAGTTTTCAAAAAAAAATGGAAGGCGAAAGCAAATGAGGAGAAACTCAGACCACCACAGCTTGGAGATTCACATTTCCACTGGTTACCGAGAACAAATTTCTTTGGGTTTGGCGGAAATAGAGAATTTCTTGGTTTTGGTAGAAAAATGTGATTTTCAGTTTTGGTAGGAAAACATAGTTTCTCGGTTATGGTGGAAAAAAGTGAATTTTCGGGTTTGGTGGAAAAATGTGAATTTTTAGTTTTGGTGAGAAATAAAAAATTTGATTTTGACAAGAAATTGCGAGGAAAATGCAACTTTTTAATTTTGACGAAAAATACAATTTCTCGGTTTTGATAGACAATGCAATTTTTCGGCTTTTGATGGATAATGTAATTTCTTGATTTTTGCAGAAAATTGTAATTTGACAATTTTGGCAGAAAATGCATTTTTTCGGGTTGATAGAAAAGCAAAATTTCTCGATTTTGGCGGGAATAAACAATTTCTTGGTTTTGATGGGAAATGCAAATTTTTAGTTTTTGACATAAAATTTGAATTTTTGGTTTTCGAGGGAAAATATAATTTTTTAATTTTTGCGGGAAACGCAATTTCTCATGAGATAATGCAATTTTTGGTTTTCGCGGAAAATTGTAGTTTTTCGGTTTTGGTAGGAAGACGTGATTCTTGATTTGACGAGAAAAATATTTTTTTCTTGTTTTGGTGGGAATAGATGATTTTTGCCGGAAAATATCTTTTTGGTTTTGACAGGAAAATACTATTTTTTGTTTTTGCACGAAGATGAAATTTTTTGGTTTTGGTGAAAAAACTTGATTTCTCTGTTTTGACGGGAAAACACAGGTTCTCGCAGGAAAATGTGATTTTTTGGTTTTTGAAGAAAAATGTAATTTCTTTGTTTTGGTAGGAAAATGAAATTTCAGGTTTGACGAGAAAATGATTTTTTTTTTTGTTTTGGCGGGAATATGCGATTTCTCAGTTTTGTGGAAAAATATATTTTTTCGGGAAAAATACAATTTCTCGGTTTTTGTAAAATGATAAAATTTCTCTGTGCTAATTTTCAAAGTTACAATATGTTTATAGTAACCAAAATTAAATTATTTAACTTCAACTAAATTGATATTTCAACAGTTCAAATAGAACTTTCTATTTAGTTTAAAAGTAATAGTAATGATTTTGATATAATTGTTATTGATTATAGTTTGGTAGTTTTAGAAACATATGTCTATAATAATATTTGATAAACAAATAAATTTTATAGTTTAAAATAATTATATTAATTAATATTTTTTTAAATGGCAATTTGCTTTATATAATTTCAAAAGAGGATCAAGTAGCAATTAAGTAGAGATAATAAATTACATTTAGCATTAGCATGAAGGTACTTAAAAATGTATTGTTTTATTTTTACATATACATTTATAGATAGTTAGCTAAACAAATTTGATAGTAGATTATAATTTTAAAAAATTAAAAAATTAATGATATATAATATTTATTCAGATTTAAAACATATAAATACATATTTAAGCTAATAAAAAATAAATATAATACTCATTTACATTATAGAAATAATTTTATTATATTAAAAATATATACAAATCTAGAAAAAATATCCTGCAGCGTAGCGCGGGTAAATACCTAGTATATATTAAAGGAGAAATATTAAAGGTTAAATTTGTTGATGTGTCAGCAGTACATTTTTTTAACATTTATTTATTTAATTAATTTTGTTTTTTCTACTACTATTTTTATAGCTAAACACATTGCAAATATTTCCAAACATTCCAATTTTTAATTATCATATAATTTCTATTAAATTTATATTTCTAAAATAATCATTTTTAATCAAGTTTTACACAAAGTTTTATTTTTTGCTGTCCAAAAAAAAATTTATTTACATTCCGAAAATAAATAAAGTTTGAGATTTTTTTTTTTTTTATATTTTACACCGAAAAAACTTTTAATATATCACAAACCTTGACTTCTATAAATACACTTTTGTCTATACAAAAAATAATAAACAATGAAAATATATAAAAATTATATTCAAATTCATGGGTTTAATTTCTCATTTCATATTTTAATGGTAGAAAATTTACTTACAATCTTTATTACATATCTCCTCTATATAAATGGAAAAGTTTTTTTGGCCTCTCAGGATCTCCACATCAGCAGAAATAATCCCAAAATAATCAACCAATCAGATTTTTTCTTTTCTGCAAAACGTTTACAGCCCCCAAACCTTCCCCTCTTCGATGTCCCCAACCACAGCAGCATCGTCAATCTTCTTTTTAAACAAATAAATTCGTACTTCGGGCCAAAAGATTATGAAGGTTTGCGATCCTCTTACCCTTCTTAAGTTCTATCTTCAAAGCAAGAGCAGATTTATATCAAATTACATACTTTCTTTTGGTTTATGAAAAGTCATCTCAACAGTTTCAGGAAGCATTTGCTTGAGCCCGATGAAAAAGACATACAAGTTATCTCATTTGCTACAAAAAGGTAATTTAAAGACATTGCACTTTTACTATATATAACACTTTTACGATCTGTTGTTCTCATGTTTGTTGTGATCAGACATAACTAAAATCGAACAAAGGAATCCGTCACTGAAGACGGCAAAGCTCCAGTTTTTTAAAGGTACCCTCGGCAATTGATTTAGAAACATTTGACTGAAGATTTTTATTACAATATGAGATAAACTTTTTGTTTTCTGTGTATGCAAAAACGCAGTTCTCCATGTTTGGGTCTATATTAACAATCGGTGCAATGCTTGGTGCTGTTATGAGTGGGAAAGTTTCAGATTTGACCGGCCGAAAAGGGATATATGTCTTACTCAATCCTAAACTTCAATGCTTCAAATTAAAATTTCAACTATTTCAATGCTCATACCATGTGGAAACTCATCTTAGGCTATGAGAACGTCAGCTTGCTTCTGCATTACTGGCTGGCTCGCTGTCTTCTCCTCTAAGGGTACTATAAATTGGGTCATACAAAGACCTACTTTCTGAATATTTGCAACATCAAAACTATATATTCTGAGATTATGCTTGATTTCGGTCTATTATATCCATTTATCGAAAATATAAACTGATATTATATGATGTTAAATGTGCTGTAGGGTGCTTTGTTACTTGATGTAGGAATGTTCTTCACAGGATGTGGAATTGGAGTTTTTTTCTTATGTGGTAATTTACTCTGTTTATCCTACACTACGCAAATCTTAAAATAAATGATCTTTATCTAGCAGTCAAGATATCAGCCTAATTGTAATTTTACTACCTTTCTCTGCAAGTTATGTTGATATTTTATGAACCAATGTTTATAAAAACGCTCTCAGTCTCAAAAGTAAATGAATCAACGAAAAAGTGCATGTGTACATTGCTGAGATATCTCCCAAGAATCTAAGAGGTTGACTGTTATAAACCAACTCATGATTGTGATCGGCTCATCGGTTTCTTTCATGATCGGATCTCTCATTTCCTAGAAAACACTTCTCCTTACCGATAAATTTCTCTGTGTAGTTACTTAGTAAATATTTTAAGACGTATACCCTCTCTGAAAACTGATCTATATATGTTTTTTTATCTCTTAAAAGGATTTGCTCCCTGCATTGTTTTACTCATTGGCTTGTGCTTCATACCTGAATCTTCCCGATGGCTGGTAATTGTATTTGTATTTATTCATACCATTACAAAACAATATAAAAAGGATAATTATGTGTTGCATACAAAAGTTAACTAACGAGATAAGTTGTCAAAGTGGCTTATTTGTTTCTCACGAAAAAAATGTTCACTCTTTTTATATTAACCTGTTATTATGTGGATTTAATTCATTTTTTTTTGTTCAACTGTGGATTTAAATCATTTAAAAGCTCAAAATCCGAGTGATTAGAAGCAAACCTCTTAAGAATTGCAAAATAGTTAAACACATCAGATGCAAGGTATTTGGCTCAAACGTCTTTAGACCACTGTTCTAAGATTTCTAAAGTTAACCACATATATATTGTATGCTTTTCAAATCCAGAAAACTGAACTATGTACATAACTTATCTCTGGATTTTTCTTGAATATTTTTACATTGACGTTCTTTTCTGCAATGACATATCAATAATATAAAATTAAAGAATATATGATCTGCTCATCAAAACAGAAACATGTTCAACTTTTCAAAACATAAATTTTACATATCTATGTTTTTTGTTCAAAAATAGTTGATGTTCTCACATATTTATGCAGAAATCAATGGGGGAATTGCTGAATATGACTCAAAACTTGAGTTGAAATGCAAAACTAGACCCCCTATTGCATGTTTGACAAAAATAACTCACAGGGATAGTGAAATTACAACTTTAACCCTTATGACCAAACAAAAAAACGTCAACCTCAATTACTATTTTATCCCAGAGAAGTCTACTCTTTAATAATATGTTTACAATTAATTTTAAAAATCATAAAAGATAATTTGATAAAAAAAAATTAGATACATAACAACAAATATATATATTTTTACACCTATAAAAAATAAAATTTGACAGAAAATAATCAATTTAAATCATCATAAATAAATTAGGATAAAAATCAATACTAAGAAACTTCTCGAGTAGACTTCTCGGTTTCACGAGTAGACTTCTCGAGTAGACTTCCTAGAGAAGTCTACTTACACGAATTTTTTTCTACATATATAAGGAGAGTTTAACCTAATTTTAATAATAATAAAGTCTCTCTCTATCTAAAAAACGCATCTCTCTCTTCTCCCTTCTCTCTGGCCATGAATTTCTTCTTCATCCTCTCTTGCTATCAATATCCTCTCTATCCTCTCTATCTTGCATTCAACCTCCTCTCACTTGCAGGTTATGGTAGTGGTAAGCAAATCTGAGCTTTTGTGTTCCTCCTTTTGTTTGCTTTGTGTTCATATTGCAAATCTGAGCTTATTATTATTGATTTGAGCTTATTGTTGTAGATCTTATTTTATTTTTGTAGATCTGAGTTTATTGTTGTATAAATTTTGTATATTTTGTTAATTTTTTGTTATTATTGCAGAGCTGAATTTTGTTGATTTTTGTACAGATCTGAATGTTATAAATATAGTAGATTATTATTATAGATTCGAGCTTATTAGTTTAGATTTGAGCTTATTGTTGTAGATCTAAGTTTATATTTGTAGATCTGAGTTTATTGTTGTATAAACTTTATAGATTTTGTTCTAGATCTATTTTTTTTGTTATTGTTACAGAGCTGAATTTTGTTGACTTTTTTTGCAGATCTGAATGTAGACTTTTCGAGTAGACTTCTCGATCTCGAGCAGACTTCTCGAGTAGACTTCTCGATCTCGAGCAGACTTCTCAAGCAGACTTCAGTTGCATACAAAATTTTCAGAGATTTTAGTTTACTAATAATTTCTTATGCCAGTTTTAAGATTTATAACTAGTGGTCCTTAAATGTTTGTTTGTCTAGAGGGTTATTTTCTACGTAATGTTGAATTGCATTGAATGTTTTGTATCAAATTCCTAAATTATCTATGTTTATCTATTCTACAAAATAGACTTCTCCTGTCTCGAGTAGACTTCTTAAAGACATTAACTTTACATAACTTATAAGTGATTCAGAGGAACATTTCTCCCATTTATATCATATAACTTGTCAACCGAGTAGACTTCTCTTGTCTCGAGTAGACTTCTCATGTCTCGAGTAGACTTCTAAAAGACATTAATTTTACATAACTTAAAAGTGATTCAGAGGGACATTTCTCTCATTTATATCATATAACTTGTCAACCGAGTAGACTTCTCTTGTCTCGAGTAGACTTCTGAAGTAGACTTCTCATTGTCTCGAGTAGACTTCTTAATTACATTAATTTTACATAACTTAAAGGTGACAACATTCGCCCTCCTTTGCTATTCACCCTCCTTTGCCAACATTTACCAAGAAGCTCACCATGTGTGCAACCATCTCTTAAGAACAACATTCGCCCTCCTTTGCTATTATCCACCTCGAACTGCCACTTTTATTCACTCTTAACCCATTCTCCATAAACAGCGGGTATGTGAATCATTCTCTGTGAAAAAAGAACAAAATTCAAACCACATTAGACATCAAAATTGCATAAGTAGACTTCTCTGAAAGTCGGATGAAGTCTATATAGTAGACTTCTAGAGTAGACTAAGAAGTCTACTCTTAATAAGCTAAGTATCATATAAAACATGAAAACTCATTCGACTATACCTATAAAATATAAACATGCAAAACTTATACATAAGCAAGAAAACTTAATAACAGAAGCTTAGGATCATGAAAATCTTAAAAATTCGTTATATATTGTATAAAAATGATTTTTTTTTAAAAACAAGAAAAGTAGACTTCTCGGATAAAAGTAGACTTCTCGCAGGTTAGTTTTACAATTGCCAAAATATTAGTAGACTTCTCTATAAAAAGTAGACTTCTCCGAGAAGTCTACTTTCGTAAGTAGACTTCTCGCATGTCATTTTTGCAATTGCAAAATATTTGACTTTTTGGTCAATTGCAAAAATGACTTGCGAGAAGTTTACTTACGAAAGTTGACTTCTCGGAGAAGTCTACTCGGAGAAGTCTACTTTGCATAGAGAAGTCTACTCTACAAAGTCAAAGGTTGGTCAATTGCAAAAATGACCTGCTTCTAAAGAAGTCTACTCGAGAAGTCAACTCTATTTTTTTGTTATCAAAGGAAATGGAGTAGACTTCATTCGGACCAAAAGAAGTTTACTTTTTCATGCGGTCAATTGCAAAACTAACATGGGCGTTGACTAGTAGACTCCATTCGGACCGAGAGAAGTCTACTTTCGGAGCATTTTCGTAAATAAGTGAGAAAGATGAAGATTAGTTGGTCATTTGGATTTCCGAAAATAAAAGAAATTAATTAAAAATAATGGCAATTTCGTGAATAACTGAAACTATAAAGGATTGTTTGGACACAAAATGACAAATGTTGGGAATGTGATTTTTGTGGGTTAGATTTGCAATTCAAATCAAATTTTAGGTTATTTTTGCAAGAATCCCAAAATCAATTGTATTTTTATTGTTTTAAGTGTTTGAATTTTATATATTGTTTTTCTATTGGTTAAATTATTTTATAATTGATGATAAAACATGTTTTGTTTTAAAAAATATAAAATTAAATAATTTTTAATCTATGTATAAAAATCTTAAACGTCATATATAAAAAAACAGAAAAATATATAATAATAATAAATATTTTATTTATCCAATTCGCCGGTAGGGCGGCTAAACCCTAGTAAAACCATAAAAGCGTACAAAGAGTCTCTCTTCTCTTCTTGATTAGTTTCAACCCCACAATGTAGAACAATCGGTGGACTTAAAAGAAACAAGCTGTGAAGAAATATCATAACCAACCAACAAATTGTTCTGTGCTCTGTTTCTATATGTCGCTCGACTACCACACAGAATCGCCAAACAATACGATCCTCCAATTTGTACAAACATATTGTAATGCTCCATCTTAAGATCAGCACCTCCTGAGAAATGCATCGTGATCACCGGATACTTCGTAACATCGTCGGTATTGTAACAAAACTCCCCGTCTGATAAAGTTGATCGTTCGGCTTGCACAGCTTTATCAACAGCATCCCTCACGTTGTTGCAGTAGCTCTCGGGCAAGTAAGTGTAAGTAGTTCCAGAGTCTATGATTATGTTCCCTTCCAACGAGTGAAAGTCTGTCCCCAGCGTCTCAAGTCTTGTCTCCCCAACGCTTATCGCGTCTAGGTTTAGGTAATAGAAAACGTTTTTTTTTTTGGTCAAGAGGTAATAAAAGTAATTTTCCTCATTCTTTCTAAAAATAGGCGTTGTAACGACACCATCTCCTGCCACGATAGCATTACCTCCAAAGTTGATCTTACTAGTTCCACTACCGGAGAAGCAGTAGGAGAAAAGACCTAAGTAGTCTTGTCCCATCTGAGAGATGAGTGATGAAGCTCCCCAATCTAGACCAACGATGCCCGAAGCGGCCGGGGTCGATGATAATCCTGAGTTGTCGTGACCACAGCCTATGGTAGTTTCAGGCATCACAAAAGGTTGGCCTGAAGTTGATTGGATCGTGACCGTCTCGGTCGCGTACGTTCCTCTGGAGTAGTCATGGTTTGCGTAAGTGATGTCGTATTTACAAGTGTGACTGAATAGGGGACCGAAGTGGCATTTTTTGTCTCTGTAGGTTGAGGATTTAGATGGATCGAATATGGGAGCTGGTTGGTTGAAGCACTTGATACAAGGCAAGCATTGTGTCCATATGACCTCGCTTCCAGTATCTATGATAGCTTCAATCTCGACAGGAGGAGTACCGATTTGTAATTTCATTACGTATTCGCTGAATTCAAAGACGGTGCTTGCGTAAGGAGATGATCCATCGTTGGTGTTAGAGGGTCGTGAAGAAGAGGAGTTAGTGCGACGGTGGAATAAGTCGAAGGTTAAGCCGCCGAGAGGAGGTGATGGTGAGGGCCGTGAGGAAGTGGTGGTAGTGAAGAGAAAAGATGTAATGATTTGAAGAAAGAGAACGATCGTTGTGGATGCAAGACGACACATGGTGATCGAATAATAGTTTTTGGTTTTGAGACACGATGCTATATATCTTCATTCGTGGAAGTACATATGCATATAATTAGACATTTTGTAGTAATTTTTAATTGTCCTGATTTGTGTTAATTTGATCAATTCTGTTATTTCCATTTCCATTACGATCTCATAACTTGGAATTTTTACAGTTTGTTACTAACTTTTACCTTTTTTGTTGCCAATTACTAATTTTTCCTTTTGACTACGAGTTTTCCATTGTTTTTGTTTAGTTTGCGATAATTGAAAATGCATATATATAGCAAAATGTACATTTTCGCCGACTAATTTTTATTAAATACTAATATTATACAGGTCACTTTGTTATAGCAAAATATATTTCCTAATTTCTAGTTTTAACTTTGTAAAGACTAGTTGACATTAACCTAGAGCATCATCATGTATTATATAAAGATTAACTCTCTATAACACATCAGCAATAAATTTTTGTTTTTCTTTTTTTGTTAATTTTAAAACTTTACCAATCCTTCGTCTCCTTCATTCAATATCAAAATATAGTCAATATTCTATTACAACAGTTTCAATAAACTATTGAATGTCTTCCCGAAACGTTATCTCAAAAATTTGATCAGCATTTTAGTAGAATTTAATCAGCATCACTAAAAAAAAAAAAAAGGGAATCGAAGATCTCCAAAAATTTAATCAGCATCACTCGAAAATGTAGAAGAATATCGAGATCGAAGCGCGGCTATCGTCCGCATCGTTCCGTTGGGAAAGAAGTGAAGGTTTTGATTTGACCGATGTAAGCAAAATGCAGCGACCCAGAGAATCCACAAAGAGTTTTCTGGAATTGAAGATTTAGAGGGTTTCTGACTATGATGAGTCAAGTGGAGAGATTGTCTGCTCTGTTTCTTCGGTGGCATCTGAGATTCAAAAAGTGAGCGAGTCCAATTATGTTTTTTTCTTTCTTTCTATACTGGCTTCCTGCTTATTTATCTTTGTCTCTGCAAATCCTGTTTCATTGATCGATCTTACCGGTGACGTTATCCCGCTCGTCTTCCGCTCATCGATGGAAGTTGAAGAGATAAAGGAGCTCCATGACTCTGCATATTCCTTCATCTCTTTTTCTTCTCAGCAAGAGCTCACCCTCCAGCAAAAAGCCTCCGCCTTTGACTCCTCCTTGCGCCGCCTCCACTCCACTCTCGTCTCTGACAAGCGCCTTGATCCTAAACTCGTGGAGAAGGCATTATCTCTCAATCCCCATTTTCCCCCATTTGATTTCTCGAATTCTAAAATTGCTTCTTTTTTTCCTCTCTCTTTTCCTTTTGCAGCTTGAGGAAGATCTACATCGTGCTAGATGCATGCTCGCCGTTGGAGATATCTTTCTCTCTCTCTCTCTCTCTGATCAAAAAAATCTCTAACTTCGGATTTAATATGGGGTTTCGATTCAACCTTATGACCCAATTGTTTGATTGAAGCAGGACGTTTCGTGAGAATGTCTCTGGGGTTTGCGTAAAGACATTAGGCTCAAAGTAAAAGAAGAACACAATAGCTACAGAGTTAGTATTTTTGCTTGCATATCGATTTATTCTTATTTAAGTTTTGCTTACTCTGTGATTGTTGAATCTAGTGACGTTTGTTTGTTTGTTTGTTTCTATGAAACAGGACAAGAGTCACACAAGACAACTCTTCTTTTTCTATTTTTACCTGGACAACACTTTTGATCCTTGGATCTTATTACTGGGATGGATGTTTGCCTGCGTTTCCTGTTCAGCTCTAGGAGGTAATAACTGATTTGGGTTGCTTGATCATTGTTTATCTCGCTCTCTCTCTCACTCTCTCCTACGTACACATGTGAGCTTCTCTCTCTCTTTTTTTCGATGGTCTCTGGGTTTTGCTCTGGATTTGGCTTGGTATCGTACTGGGTTTGCTGAAATTGCTTTGATCTGGGTTTGCTCTGGATTTGCTCTGGATTTGATTGGTATTGTATTGGGTTTGCTGAGATTTTGCTTTGATTTTGTTTGCTCTACCTACATATGGTATTCATGTTTTGCTTTGATTTGGTTTGCTCTAGCTACATATCTGGGTTTTGGTGCTTTGACGTGGTTTTGTTTGTTGCATATAGTGCTTGAATATATAGTTTCATGTGCGTATGCTTGAATATTTTAGTTCTTGCCATTATTTATATCATGGATGCACTGACCATAGTCGTTATGTGGAGTTTCTTGTCATCATTGGTGTTAATAGAACTGCAAACTGTTTGATTTCAAATAAATTGTCCTGTTTCTACATTTTGGGTAAACTCATATGATGGAAATCTTCAAATTGTCCTGTTTCTACATTTTGGGATATATTGAGCTTATAATGTCTGTTGTTAGGTTATCTATAAAGAGAATGAAAGTTCGTTCTTAAATACACTCGCTTAATTATGTAGATAGAGTATTGTGATTATGATAATGCTGTCGTATGCTTTGAGAAGAGTGTTACATAATTTGAATCATATTGCTGTCGTATTCAAGTTTCAGTGAGTATGTACTCGAGATGCAGGTGCATAGCTTCTGCTTGTCGTGTGTTTGGTAGCATCTCTGAGCCTGATTTAGTTGCATGTTCTTTTTTGATAGCGGGTTATTCGAAATGGCACAAGGAGGCTTTGTACCTGTTTAGTGTGCTTGATATAAAGGTTTGCTCTGTTCTGATAAACATGTACTCAACTTAATAAGAGATTTCAGCATGGTTTATAAGAGAATTTCTTGGGTTTTCCGGTTTTTGATTTTATAATCAAAATTTTTTGATGTCAAGTGAGAGAAAGATCTCACATTAAGCTTTGTGTTAATTGTATAAAATTGAAGTGGATTAACAAAACAAAGTTATATAAAATCAGAATATCATAAATGTCAAAATTGAAAGTCAATCTACATATCACACCACCTTTTGAAAATAAAAACACATCAACCAATACTAGACTTGCATATGATTTTAGTAAGGAGATTTTAATATTGCTACTTCAGTTGAAAAAATATTTAATAGAAAATCAATAAACTAAAAAGATAATAATTTATGAGAATTTATACTATTTGTATAGTCTTTGTCGTCTACAAAGAAAATTTTAATAATCTCATATTTAATAATGAGCATATAACAAAAACATCGTTAATATTACTATATTATAAAAAGCAATTATAAACACTTAATCCACAATATGAGAAGAAAATTAAGCAGATGTAATTTGTAAAAAAAACAAAAAGATCTATTCATAAGAAACCACATTTTCCAAATAAATAAAATCAGGTACATATCATAACTATAATAGAAAAAATATTATAATAAAGACAGTAATTGTTTTTAATAATGTTATAGTTTATTTCTATTTTTAAAGTAAACATATTAGCTGTATTTTTCTGAAGTAGGAGATTTTTAGATTTTCTGTAAACCTAAATTATTTGGTCATTTTTTAAAAACAATATATTTGGTTTACATAAAATTATAGCTAAAAAACTAAAAATAATTAATTTATTATTTTAAAATGTAAAATAAAAACAAATATAAAAAACTTATAATAAAACAAATGTATAAATTACTCAAATTATTATATTACTTTTATTTTTATAAGTATATAATAAACCATAAATCCGAGTGTATACGCATGTCATCACTTAGTATAATATAAAAGTTGATGAGATAGTGCATTGAGGGCGTCCACATGGGATTAAAAAACTCGATCTGATTGATCTACATCAGCATATTTATTAAATAAAAAAATATTAAATATGATTAAGACGGAAAAACATGATTTAATTGGTCCACATCAGCTTTTAAATCAAACAAAAAATTATTAAGTATAATTAAAACATTAAAAGTTAATTTAACAAATTATGTCCAACAAAAAAATAAATTCAATTTGATTGATCCAAATCAATATATTTATTATATCAAAAAATGTTAATATGATTTAAAATTTTAAAAGTTAAATAAAAAATTATAGCATATTTATTAAATAAAAAAATATTAAATATGATTAAGACGGAAAAACATGATTTAATTGGTCCACCTCAGCTTTTAAATCAAACAAAAAATTATTAAGTATAATTAAAACATTAAAAGTTAATTTAACAAATTATGTCCAACAAAAAAATAAATTCAATTTGATTGATCCAAATCAATATATTTATTATATCAAAAAATGTTAATATGATTTAAAATTTTAAAAGTTAAATAAAAAATTAACAATTAACAATACATATATATAAAAAAATAACCATTATCAATTATCAATTAAAAAAAAAGCTACAACAACTCGATTTAACAATTAAAACAATAAAAACTGAATAAAAATATAACATAAAACTCTTGGAAGACATGATAGAGAAAGAAAAAAATGGTTTTGCATGATCATTACAGCTTCTTAACAAAATTAAATGCGAATCAACATGAATCATGGATTATATATGCAGTGGTACACAACATCAATAAGACTCTAAATAAAAAAACTAAATATTTGAACACATAAACTTCTAAGAAAAAAAGAATTTTAGAAATTCTAACAAAATTAAATTCGAATCAACATGAATCATGGATTATATATGCAGTGGCACACAACATCAATAAGACTTTAAATAAATACTAAATATTTAACACATAAACCTTCAAGAAAAAAGAATTATAGAAATTCTATGGAAAACAGAAATTAATACCAAAATCTTAGCAAGATTATATTTTTCTAAATCAAATGTATATGTACGTCAAAGTTGAATAATTATATAGGTGTCATTGTTATTATTTTACCTAATAGTTTTTAAAATTTATAAATAAAAATAGGATAAATTGCACAATATATATTAAATTCTCTTATATAGATGAAAATTTCTATAAATATATTATATTTTTAATAATTTTAAAGATAATGGCTAAAAAAATTAAAGCAAAATATTAATACAGGCTCGCGCGTAGCGCGAATTATATACTTAGTATATAATAGAGTTGAAGATGGTTCTTTCTAATTGTAAATACTGAAA